AAAAAAAAAAAGTTAAATCAACGATAAAAGACAGGGTCTATTGTACATTTTTTCCAAGAGCGTTCATTGCTCTTCTGTTTGTGACCTGTGCTGTATGGCACTCAAGTATTTTCAAACATTATGCAAGTCCTGTCTGCTCCAGGGCTTCTGCCCTAGGCCAGTTTGCTTTGGCCCCACTCGCCTTCTGAAAGCCTCCGTTTTCACGATAGGTCACTAGTATTTCCCAGTGGTGAACAGCACTGGTCTAACCCTACTTGTTGAATATATTTCCGTTAAATAAATTCACCACTTTCACTTAACAATGACAGGCCATCCCCTTGCCGGATGGGATCTTATTGCGACTTAGTATGTCTTCGTACAGATCCTGTTCAAAGTGAATCTGTGCAGACGCTAGCCTTTCCTACTGGCAGAAGCTCCGATCCTAAACTCAAGTTTCCCATTCTGATTATCGCTGGAGGAATGAAGCCTAATAACCATCGTCCTCGAGTCTCCCGCTAACCTCGAGACAGCCCAAGCCCGGCTCCGCCCCCAGCGCGCTCAGAGGACGCCGCCGTCGCCACGTCAGCCGGCGCCCGTGACGCAGACGCGTCTGCGTGCCCGGAGGGCGGACCTCGCGCAAGGGCCGCTTGACCTCGCGCTAGGGCCGCCCTTACATCCGGGGCTTGGGCGGCGGCGGTGCCGCCGCGCGGGAGTCACGTGGCTTCTTCCTTTCCGTCTGTGGCCGGCTGGGAGCTGGTGAGGCGCGTGGGGTCTCGTGCTGGTTCCCCTTCGTCTCCTCTCCCGGCTCGGCCCACTAGGGAGTTAGTTGACGCCGGGTGAACTCAGCCAGCTGCCAAGATGCCGGCCTATTTCCAGAGGCCGGAAAATGCCCTCAAACGCGCCAACGGTGAGTAGGGATTGCGGCGCGCCGGACTGGGGCGCCCGAGGTCCCTGAGGTCGAGGGCCCGGGCCTACCGCCTGCCTCCCGAGTTGCGGTCCGAGCGGAGGCCGATGCGGCCTACCCGGCGCAGGGCCGACCCGTTTTGGGCGCGGTTTTCCTTCGCACCCTGGCCAACTGCGGATGGGAGGCGCGGATAGGGAGCCTTCCCCCGGGCCTTTCTTCCGCCCGCTCCCTCTTGCTGTGCCGCGGGGACGCGGCCGGGAGCCACGCCTGCCCTGGCCGGAGCTCCTTCTCGCCTGCCTTCCGTGGACTCTCTGGTCCACTGGGTTTTGGTCTTAGACCCCGCTCCCCTGTCGCCATCTGGGAGTGCCGGGGAGGGAAACATGGCTCCCTCCCGGGGACAATGCAAGCCAGAACCTCGCGCTACCTCTCTCCGGGCCGGAGCCCGGCGGCACCCCCACCCCCCCACCCCGCGGCCACCTCTGCCGCCTTTGGGCCCGTGTGGTGCTTTGCAAGGGTCAGGGTCCACTTAGCTCCAGTCAGCTACTTTTTGTGCACTTCTGGGCCTCTGACCCACTTAACCTGTTTCTTGGTGTTGGTTTCTTTTTACTCGCTGCGCATTGATAGGGGCAGTCTGAAAGTCAGTTCCCAATCACGGGAATTTTGGAATAGAGTTAAATGTTAGAGCATTGTTTCCCCAAGGTCACTCTGAGAGTTATTGAGCTAGCAGACCTAAAACTAAGGTTTTTTGACATCCAGATCGTCATTTTTTTGGTTGGTTCACTCGCCGCAGGGCTGTTGCCTGCTGTCTCTATTTGTACTTAAGCCGCCCTGGGCACTTGCATGAAAAACTTGGGTGCTCTGATCTCAAGAGGCATTCATTACATTGACATTATGGGGATACAGATAGTTTATTCATACCTCTGGTCTCTAAAAACTTTTTAACTTAGGTTTTTTAATTTAACCGATCAAATTTTTAAGTTCATAAACATCCGTAGTAATTTTTTTTTTTTTTGGTACCGGGAATCAAACTCAGGACTTTGTGCTTGTGAAGCAGGCGCGGTAACATTGAGCTAAATCCCCGGCCCCTGTAGTTCTTTTATTTTTTTTTTTGGTACCGGGGATCGAACTCGGGACCTTGAGGAACCACTGGATTAAATCCCCGGCCCCCCGTAGTTCTTATTTTCATTTTCTGTTCTAACAGTTTTGGGTTTTAGCTGTGTAGTAGTTTAATATTATATTATGCGTTACAGTTTTGTGTTTGGAGAATTGTTTTAGCTTTGAAATTTTATTTTATGAAAAGGTCAGTTTGTATCAATATATACAGTGGATACTACTGGTAAACTGTCAGTGCCAAAGAAGCGTTGATAACATACTTAAACTAAAAGTAACATTTTTTTGTGGGGGTGAGAATGGTCTGGAACAGAATAATTCAACATTTTGTGTAGAGTAATTGTATTAACACCCTTTTATTTATTTATTTATTCTGGTACCGGGGCTCGAACTCGGGACCTTGCGCTTGCGAGGCAGGTGGCGGCACCACTGAGCTAAATCCCGGGCCCTAAAACCCTTTTAAAACCACAAGGTAGATCTGATCTTTGTTCTAACCCCTAATCTAATGGTTAGGACAGGCAAGTTTAAAGAGTTTTAATTTATAGAAAAGAAAATTGAAGTCGCTGTTTATCACTACAAACTAAACTAACAAAGCTAGGACGTTTTTGTTTTGAAAATTAGAATTATGGTATAAAAAATGATTTGTACAAAAATTACTGCCCTGTTTTGCAAGCATTTATATCCTTCAACACTTTTTTGCATGCTAATAGGCCGAATCACTGCAGTCTGCTTGGCCTAAATACTGTTTTACATTTGGTGTGTTCTTGACTGGTCTTCATCACTTTTGTGTTTGGAATCTTCACAGGAGCTTAATATTTAAGTAACTTTTTATATAGGCCCCCTGCCCTTAGTTTCTGTTGAAATAGACTTAAGTTTTGAAGGGCAGGTTGGGGAAAGCTTCTGAGGGTAAAATAGGCAAAACAGGAAAAGGGTACTGTGGGGGTAAACTTGGATCATATTTGTGATACTTGTGTAATATTTACAAAGGTATGTATTGATTCTTTTCTGCATCCCTGTTAAGTTGTAGGATGGCAGTTTCTGTGGTAAGAAATGTACTTTTCAAGTAGTAACTTATATACTTTTGATCTTTTGAAGGAAGGATCCTTCTTAAAGTGTCAAAATTGAGCAGATTGAGGAACATGTCGTGCTTATAAAACATTAAAGTATTTCGATGGAAATCTCATTTTATCTAAATGTTTTTATCTGCCATGTTTGTAGCCCCAAATATATTAAGACCTGATCTACTCTATTATCTTAATAAAAGAAGGTAAATTTAAGTAGAATAGATCTTCAAGTCACTTTAAACCTGTATATATCAGCAATATTTTTGGAAAAAATGATAGTAATCATTAAGGAAGATGAGAATTTAGTTCAGCATTTACAAGCACATTCACATCATGTGAATTTCTCTCATAAGGAGAAAAGCTCCTTTTCTAGGTTATATTAATAGTATTTTTTTTTTCTTTTTTTTTTTGGTACCAGGGATCAAACTTGGGTCCTTGCGCTTGTGCAGCAGGCGGTGAAACCACTGAGCTAAATCTCCAGCCCTTTAATAGTATTAATCTACTGGCTCCTGACCCCATAATATCTTAAAAACTATATTCTACAACCAGTGCAAAGTACTTATTGCACCCACAAATTAAGTAACATTATAGTTTATCTATTTGCCTTTTTTTAATCGGGGATCAAACTTGGGTCCTTTCACTTGTGAGGCAGGCTTCGGAACCACTGAGCTAAATCCCTGGCCAGCTTTTTTTTTTTTTTTTTTTTTTGAGACAGGGTCTCACTATGTAGCTCAGACTGGCCTTAAATTCTGTATGTAGCCCAGGCTGACTTCAAACTCACAGCAGTCCTCCTGCCTCAGCCTCCTGAGTGCTGGGATCACAGGTGTGTGTGTGCCACCATGCCTGGCCTAAAATGCAAATTTTAAATGCTCACCCTTAAGAGTCATAATTCTCTGGCCATAATTCTCTTAGCTCAGTGGTTCCAACGCCTGCCTCACAAGCACAAGGTCCCAAGTTTGATCCCCGGTACCAAAAAAATAAGTTATAATTCTGGGTTTTAATTTTACTTTCTAGAATATTAATCTTGAAATCAACATTTCTTTACTCATTGAAATGGGGCCTTTAAAAAAAAATGTATGATCTTTGAAGCCTCAGAAGTTTCCCTTACCCCATTAGATAATTCAGAATAACTAAATCCTCATAAATATATATATACTCATATACACATGTATATATATATATACACTCATACACATGTGTATACATATATATATACACATATGTATATTTGGATAAGACAGACTCACAGTCAGATTATCATGAAAAAGTTTGTTCCATTCATGCTGAGTTTAAAAATGTGTGCCTAATCGGTGTTGCAAGCATATCATTTATGCCTACATATAGTAGTTAAGATTTAAAGCCTAGATGGAAGATTGAGAGTAGGATATATATAATAGATCATTTTAGTGTTGCTGCTTTGGTTTTTGCTAGTGTAAAGGATGAGTTTGATTAAAGGCATTTCCCAAATTTTGGCAGATATTGATGAAAGAGCTTTGAAAAACACCTAAAGTCTGAATGGGTTTTAGAAAATAATCTTATGTGCACTCTAGAAGAGAGTAGATAGTTCTTCCCTTAAGCACAAAAGACTTTGTTCCCATACAGTATGTAATTGTACTCGTTTTATTTAATAAGGTTTTTTTTAGTAGTAAGACTTAATTGAAGATGGACTTTCACCTATAACAGATAAGGTTTTGTATTTATTGGCATATGAAGAATTGATTTGATTTAAGGAGTGACATGTTAGGTTCTTAGTGTTTTATTTGTCCAATTGAAAGCTTTTTAATATATTTGAGAGTTGAGAGTATTGTTTGTAGTTTCACCGGAGGAAGGAATGCTGGGAAACATTCCTGGAAGATGTGATAGTTGAAAGAAGAAATGGTAGAGAATTGCTTGCTGAGTCTAGTAAAACCTCCCGATAAAGACCTTTTCTTTTTTTGGTCTGTTTAACACAGTTACTTGTTAGATAATGCTGGTATTGTTAGCCTTTTTTTTTTTTTCCTTTGGTGCTGACCAGGTTAATCGTTTTTTTTTCTTCTTCTTGAGACGGTCTCACTTTGTGTAGTGCAGGCTGGCCTTGAACCCCTCAGGGTGGGATCCTGCTTCTGCCTTCAAAGTGCTGGGATTACAGAATGCTGGGATTGATTACAGGTGTTTGCTACCATCCAGGCCAGATCAACTCTTACAAGAACTCTTTGTCCCAGATTTTTTTCTTGGGATTCTACAGTGATTTTTAAGAAGGGAAATGTACTGTTTTTTTTTTTTTTGGCACTGGGAATCGAACTTGGGACTTTGCGCCTTCTAGGCAGGCACCGGAACCACTGAGCTAAATCCCCGGCCCCAGAAATGTACTGTTTTTGAAGACATTTTATAGTGTAGTCTTGTAGTTCCTTCAATTTATTTTTCTCTTTTCTTTCTCTTCTTTTTTTGAAACAGGGTCTCCCTATGTAGTTCAGCTGTCCTTGAACTCACTCTGTAGTCCAGGCAGGCTTCAAATTTACAGTGATCCTCCTGCCTCAGCCTCCCAAGTGCTGGGATGACAGGCAGGTGCCACCATGCCTGGCTTCAAATTACTTTTTTTTCTTTTTTTGGTACGGGGGATCAAACTCGGGTTCTCGTGCTTGCTTTAATTTTTAAAATTTTTAAAATTACTTTTCAAATTTGTTGAAAGTTTGTGCTTGTGTGAAGAGTGGCTGTTTTGGAATTTTAAGGTGAAGTTAGTAGCCACTCAAGTTAAATAAATTGTTTCAGTCTTTTGTTTGTGCGAAAGCAAATAAAATATGGGAAATGTTTTAACTGAGAGTGTTATCTTTGGACTCAATTTCAGAAGGAGCAATCATATGTAAAACTTAAGATTGGAACTTGATTTTATAACATTGGCACATATAGGAATGGTTTAGGGTTAGGGGATAGTAAATTCAAGAGAATTTTTGCTCTCTACAAATTTTTCAAGTTACTTTGTCTTTTTTTGAGGCAGGGTCTCCCTTTGTAGTTCAGGCTGGCCTCAAACTCCTGGTGATCCCTCTGCCTCAGCCTCCCCAGTGCTGGGATCACAGGTGTGCACCACCATGCCTGGCTCATTTTTTTTTTTTCTTCCATTTTTAAAAACAAGCATTTAGTTCAAGAACAGTTTGATATTTACAGAATTATTGCAAAGATAGAATAGTGTTCCCATTTATACCATACCTGTTTGGTGCTATTAATGAGAAGTTTCTGTCAATATTGTGTATTCGTTCCAACTAATGAACTAATATTTGACACTTTTAAGTCCATACTGTATTGATTTCTTCAGCTTCCTTAATGTCCTTTCCTGTCCTGGAAATCCCACTCACAATATCACATTTTATATAGTTGTCATGTTATTTAAATCTCCTGTTGGTTGTGACAGTTTCTCAGACTGTCCTTATTTTTTCATGACTTGACAATTTTTTTTTTTTTGGTACTGGGGATTGAACTCGGGTCCTTGCGCTTGCACAGCAGGTGGCGAAACCACTGAGCTAAATCCCCGGCGATGACTTGACAATTTTGAGATGTACTGGTCGGATATTTTATAAAATGTCCTTTGTCTTAGGCCATTTGTGCTGCTTTAACACAATGCCACATTATGGGTACTTTATCCAAAACAGGGATTTGTGGGCCGTGGATTTAGCTCAGTGGTTCCACCGCCTGCTCTGCTAGCACAAGGACCTGAGTTCGATCCCTGGTACCAAAAAAAAAGCCAGAACAGGAATTTGTGCCTCCCAATTCTGAAGGCTGGGATCAAGATGGCCAGCAGTTTTGGTGTATGGTGAAGGCCAACTGTTTCTGCTTCCAAGGCACTTGAGTGCCTTGTTACTTTTTCCCCTGGAAGAGGCTAATGCTGTGTCCCTTGCATGGCAGAAGGGATGGGCAGGCAGAAGAAGGGCTCGGTAGTTTACTTCTCTAAGGGCACTGATCCATTTATGAGGGTGGACCAAACGTGTCCTAGTCACGTTTTAAAGACCTTACTTCTTAATATTGTTGGGTTAGGGATTAAATATCAACGTGAATTTTTGAGGGACACGTACGTTTAAACCAAAGCATCCTTTAGTTGGGATTTGTCTTAATACTATTTTTCTCATGTTTAGACTGGAGTATATAAGTTGAGAGAGATGCTGTGTTCATGGATTGTAAGACTCAGTATTGCTACCAGTTCTTTAAACTCCCTCTATAAATTCTGTGTAATCCCATTCAGAGTCCTGGCAAGTTATTTGGTATATTCCTACAAACTTGATTGTAAAATTTTTAGGGAAATGCAAAGTATGGCCTTTACAATACTAAATGACAAAGTTGGCTTACTCACTACCTGATTTCAAGACTTTACTATTTTGGCTGCAGTAATCAAGACAACGTGGTATTGGCAAAGGCTGTACATATTGATTTATTGAAAATGCATGAAACAGAAAGCCCAGAAATAGACTCACTAAATGTAGCCAGCTGAGCCCGGAATGGTGCCACATGCCTGTAATCTCAGCACTCTGGGAAGCTGAGGCAAGAGGATTGCAAGATTGAGCCCAGCCTGGGCAGTTTAGCAACTTGGCTGGAGATGTAGCTCCGTGAGATGACCCTGGATTTGATCTCCAATGCTGCCTAAGCTACTTGATCTTAAAGTAGTAAAGGCAGTGTGTTTTCTGCTTTAAGTTGTGTAAACTAGCAAACATTCCATCAGCCAGGTAAAAATATGACTGTGAAGTAATACTTGAACTTTTTGAAGTTGCTGAGGTAGTGTTTTTCTTTATAATTTAAGTTTCTGGATTAATTGATTATTTATTTATTGAGACAAGGTCTTGCATTATAGTTCAGGGTAGCCTTGAACTCACTATATAGCCAGGCTGAAATGACAGTGTTCCTCCTGAGTGCTGGGATTACAGGCCTGTGCCACCACACCTGTCACTTTCTGAAACTTAAATCTGAAACTTTTAAATCAGTGGAGTCGAGTGAAATTGGCTATATTTTGAGATAGTAGTAATCTTCATTATTTTACCTTTGGATAATTATGGCATAGTTTTTAGAAATGAAAAATGTGACCTAAAAATATGTGACCAGTTAAAAAGACAACTTTTTAGACTTTTGTGTAGTATACATAATTGGTTTTAATTCTCTTGAATTATTATTTTGTTTTCCAGAATTTCTTGAGGTTGGCAAAAAGCAACCTGCCCTGGATGTTCTTTATGATGTTATGAAAAGTAAGAAACATAGAACATGGCAGAAGATACATGAGCCAATTATGTTGAAATACTTGGAACTTTGTGTGGATCTTCGTAAGAGCCACCTGGCTAAGGAAGGATTATATCAGTACAAGAACATTTGTCAACAGGTACAGACAACTTGGTTTTATATTTTGAAAATGCTTTTAGTAATTTCCAGAAGAGTAAACATTTCACAGTTAATGCATTTTATATTATAAAACTTTTTAAAAAAAGTTTTCCTTTTGAACATTAACAGTTAATTGGAAAAAATAGTTCCTTTTTCTTCCTGCTTAGGTGAATATTAAATCTCTGGAGGATGTTGTTAGAGCATATTTGAAACTGGCAGAAGAAAAAACTGAAGCTGCTAAAGAAGAATCCCAACAGATGGTATTAGATATAGAAGATCTGGATAATATTCAAACTCCTGAGAGGTATATGAGTTCAACATTTAATAAGTACTTGTTGGTTAACTCAGTATTTTTTTCACATGAGTCTTGTCCTCATTTGAAGTAATATTTTTCAGGAAGAATGGTTATCTTTGAAGTTTTATGTAGTACCCCACACAGTAATGTACTAAAGATTGGTAATTCAGGTGTGGATAGTGATAGTTTTACAGTGTATACAAAGTTGGAAGAATTGATACTATCTCATGATCATTGTTGGTTTTTTTTGTTTAAATTTATTTTTTTTGTTTTTTAGTACCGGGGATCGAACTTGGGACCTTACGCTTGCAAGGCAGGCGCTGGAACCACTGAGCTAAATCCCCAGCCCCTCATTGTTGGTTTTTTAAACCATGTGGTAAAGTAGGAAATTATGTCTAAAATTATTTTTCATTTTTTTCCCCCCTTGTCTTTGTAGTGTTCTCCTAAGTGCAGTAAGTGGGGAAGACACACAGGATCGTACTGATAGGTTACTTTTAACTCCCTGGGTTAAGTTCCTGTGGGAATCGTACAGACAGTGTTTGGACCTTCTTCGAAACAATTCTCGAGTAGAGCGCCTCTACCATGATATTGCCCAGCAAGGTAAAATGACAAGATGGAATCTCAATAAACTGATTTGAAAAGTGGACTTTAGAATAGATTTTGCAGAAGATTACATCCCTTTCTCCACAATGCTTTAAAAAATAAACTAGTTTTTACATTTTTGACATTCATTTGACTTAAAATAACAAAAAATTTGTTGTACCAGTTTAGGGTAATTCAGTGTGGAATATATTCTATTGATTCCTGAAAGACTTTTTAAAGTCATTTTTGGAATTTTCCAGGGTAGTAAAGGAAAAAAGTGAACTTTTCCATTGTTGTCAGATAAATTTGAGGTTTTTATTTGTTTGTTTGTTTTTTGGTACTGGGGATCAAATTTGGGACCTTGTGCCTGGGAGGCAGCTGGCGGAACCACTGAGCTAAATCTCTGGCCCTTTTGAGTTTTACTTTTGATTCCACTCTGGATTTAAAGAATTCCATGAAAGTAAAGTGCTGGACATGGTGGTGCACACCAGTACTCCCAGTACTCAGACTGAGGCAGGAGGAATGCTCTAAGTTTCAGGCCAGCCTGGGCTACATAGTGAGTTCAAGACCAGTCTTGAACTACACAGTGGGACCATGTCTCAAAAACGTAAAGAAAAATAATTGCATGAAAAAAAGTATTTTCCTCCGTTTTTCCTCTGCAGTACTGGGGATTGAATATAGAGTCTTTGTACTGAATTACAGAAGTACCACTCACTAACCAGATTGTACTACTGGAGCTCCTGTATTGAGTTACATCTTTAAGATAGGGTCTCACTAAGCTGTTAAATTGCCCAGGCTGGGCTAGAACTTGGATTCTTTTTACCTCTGCCTCCCAGAGTGCTGGGATTACAGGCCTGATGCCATCATGCCCAGTCTATTTGTTCTTTTTTAAACAGTATGTATTGAATATAGAATGAGACCTTGATGACTGAGGGTTATCTTACTTTTTTTTTTTTTTGAGGCGGTCTCATCCTGAACTCACTCTGTAGCCCAGGCTGACCTCGAACTGCTGGTGATCCTCCTGCCTCAACCTCCCAAGTCCTGGGATAACGGGCATACACCACCACACCCAACTTTGAGGATCGTCTTAATATCCTGTTGTTTTTCTAAATACAGTTAATCTGTGGAGGAGTGTCTGAAATTATCTTACCTTTTTTCCCTACTGTCACTTGTTACTCTTTCCTATCCTGAATGGAGCCCACCTCAACACTGGCGATTGAACCGAGCTACACCCCCTGTCCTTTGTTATTTTTTCTTAATTTTTAAGATAGGATCTTACGAAGTTGTTAAGTTGCCCAGGCTGCCTTTTAACTGTGTGACTGGGTAAATAACCTGAGAGTGGCTCTGGGCTTTTTTTTTGTTTTACCCTTATCATAAATTGTGTTTTCAGGCCTGTAGGGGTGATTGGCATTTCTTGATTCAAATGTTTGACTGTACAGCTAAGAATATTGGAACTTTTGTGTCCTAGTTCGTTTAAATGACTAATGTGAATTTTCACTATCCATGAGTAAACTTAGTCTTTTTGATAAGTATTGATTAACTTGAAGTTAAATTGCATCAGTTTAGGCCTGTTGCAATAGGGATACTGTATTTCTTAACAGCAAAGGAATTGTAGAAAGTATTCTGATATCACATAAATGACAGCAGAAAGAGTATTGTATATTTCAGTGATGGAGCAAGTAGTTCACATGAGTATATATACAGCTGAAATTAGGTTACTGTAAATTCCCAATTTGTAATACATAGTTTAAGCAATATGAAAATGTTGGATCCTGTATAAATTAACTATTGTATTTCTTTTATTCCCCCAGTACTGGGGATTGAATTGAACTCAGGATCTTGCACTTGCGAGGCAGGCGCGGTGCTACTGCGCTAAGTCCTCAGCCCTTAATTATTGTATTTCTGCCTAGAATTTTTACTCTTCTAGCATTTGAAATAATAGGTCATTGAAGGGAGGATCTTCCCTAAATCTAAATTCTAATTATTTCCAATTTGTAAACTTGCAGAACCGTATTTTGGTCTTAATCCAGGACCAAGGACTATGTGTTCAGTTTTGTCAGGGCTCAAAATACTAGTCAGAGCACATGGAAGGGGTGGGGTTATGACACTTTTTACAACATGTTCAAAGACTAATGATGAATTTGGTGAATCTTGTTAAAATAACTGATATTAATATGTGGAAATATAAAATATTTAAGTTGACAGTGGAAAGTACTTAACGTATTTGACAATTATGTCTACAGCTTTCAAATTCTGCCTCCAATATACCCGGAAGGCTGAGTTCCGTAAGCTGTGTGACAATTTGAGGATGCACTTATCCCAAATTCAGCGCCATCATAACCAAAGCACAGCAATCAATCTTAATAATCCAGAGAGCCAATCCATGCATTTGGAAACGAGGCTTGTTCAATTGGATAGTGCTATCAGCATGGAACTGTGGCAGGTATGTTGTTAACTATTTGCTTTTCTTTCTAGTATTAAATCTGTTCTTTCCATTAATCAGTATCCTCATCTTGGTATAATTGGTTAATTTCAATAGATAAAGTGAGGAATTTAAGATTGTTTGAGGAACAGGAAGTCTCAGAAAAATTCTGGTTCTAATTACCCTGTTGGGGAAAAAAACATTTTTTTTTTTCATACTGAGAATCGAAGTCAGGACTTTGAGTTTGTGAGGCAGGCACAGCGCCACTGAGCTAAATCCCTGGCCCTACCCTGTGAAATTTGAGTCAAATCATGTAATCTTTCAGATTCAGTTTCTTTGCATGTAAAACAGTACATCGTCAGTGCTGCTCTTAAGTTTCATGACTGGTGCTAGTTTGAATTGTTCAAGTCTGTGATGAACTGGGACTTTGCAAAGGTATTTTTTTGTTGTTTAAAATTTTTTGGTTCTCAGAATTGAACCCAGAGCCCTGTGGATACTAAGTGCATGCATGCTCTACCACTAAACTATGTCCCCAGTCCTACCTTTTATTTATTTATTTATTATTTATTTTTCAAAGTGGTACTAGGCATCATACCCAGGGCCTCTCTCCAACTAAGCTACATGCCCTGGGGATTGAACCTAGGGGATTTGCACTGAAAACATCCTCAGCCCATTTTTTTCTTTTTTTTTAAACTTTTGAGACAGGGGTTCACTAAGTTACTTAGGGTGGCCTCTAATTTGGTGGTTCTTCTGTGTCAAATGCCCAGAGTTCTGGGTTTACAGGTATGTGTCACTATGCCCAGCTTACAGGTTTGTCTGTTTTTTGGTCTTGCTGTGTGGTTCAGGTTGGTCTTGAGCTCACTGTGTAGCCCAGGCAAGCCTTGAACTTGTGGCGATCCTCTGGCCCCAGCCTCCCAAATGCTAGGGTTACAGGCAAAGCCACCATGCCTAGTTTGTCTGTTTAATCTGATAATATTTGGCCTTTTGTTTCATATTTTTGGTAACTTCAATATTTTGTATAAGTATTCATTGGTGGTATATTGAAAATTAAAACCGCATGCGTTCGCTGTGGTTGGAGGAGTGATGCTCTGGAATATTCCCTTAGTGGTTGGGCTTAGGTAGCATGAATGGTGAATATCACACATACCATACGTTGGCTTTGGGAAGTTTCTCTTCTGGCCTCTTTTCTCTTTAGAATCCCGAAAAGATATTATCACATGATTTTTTTTTTTTTTTTTCCTTTGAGACAAGGTTTCGCTCTATAATTCAGGCTGGCCTTGAGCTCACTGTGTATCCTAGGCTGGCCTTGAATTCTCAGCAGTCCTCCTGCCTCAGCTTCCTGAGTGCTAGGATACAGGTGTGCACCACCACACCTGTCTTTTTTTTTTTTTTGGTACCGGGGATCAAACTCGGGTCCTTAGCTTGTGAGGCAGGCGGTGGAACCACTGAGCTAAATCCCCAGCCCTCCACACCTGTCTTTTCACATGATTTTGTACCCTTGTCACTTGAGAGCTTTTTATATATTGGACCAAAAGTATAATTGAAATTATAGAGGAGAGCCTAAAATTTGGGAAGTTTTTCAGCCAAGTGAAAAAGTGATTTTATTTTCTGTTCTTGCTCCATAATATTTTCCTTTTTTATAGGGACATCATCTTTTTATATAGTAAAATATTTATTGGTACATTTTGGACATACATAATGATAACATTCATCATTGGGTTTTTTTGGGTTTTTTTGTACCAGGGATCGAACTTGGATCCTTGCGCTTGCAAGGCAGGCAGTGGAACCCCTGAGCTAAATCCCCGGCTCATCATTGTGAATTTATACCTGTACACGATAACTTCTTGCCTCATTTTTTCCCTTTCCTCCCTCCCCTCAAACTTTTTCCCCTCTATATACAAAATATTTGTTTCTGTTTTTTCCTTCTGTTTTCAAGGGACACCCATTTTAAAGTATAACTGTAAAGGACAAGTTAAATATGCTTTATAGGAAAAACGGATAAGCTGAAAGAAGTGTTCATTCATTGTCTTATCACTGAGGTCACTTGTATTCTACTGTACATTCTTCCAGGTTTTCGCTTTATGTTGCCCGAAGTGGTATGATAATATTTCATACATACCTTTCTTTTTAGTCTGCTCTACTTTATATTATTATTTTTTAAGATGCGGAGGGTACTGGGAATCAAACACAGGGACTTGTGCTTGCCAGGCAGGCGCTGCGCCTCTGAGATACATCCCTAGCCCTTGCTTTACTTTAGTTTTTTTTTTTTTTTAAATAACTTTATTATCAAACACACACACATACAGAAATTAAAACTATTCAAAGAAAAACAATGTAAGGGAAAAAAAACTACAGTAATACTCAAATACAATAGAACTCAACCAAAACAAAACTGAAAAGCACTTAAACATTTTTCCATATAACTTAAGAAAACATCTCAAGCACCAACAAGATACCAGAGGATGTGATTTGTTTCAGAAAGATCCCCAAAACCAACATTGCACTTTCATTTTTCTTAAAGAACTTAAAATTTTTTTTTTTGCAGTACTGGGGATTGAATTTAGAATCTTGTGCTTTCGAGGCAGGCGCGGTGACACTGAGCTAAATCCCCAGCCCTAAAAACTCAAAAGTTTAAATGTTTTTGTAATTAGGGCAATTTTCTCAAATATGTAGGTATTGTAGGTAAATAAAAAGAACCACATGTGAAGACATTTTATTTACCATTATTTTTATGTGTTCTGTGTTTTAGGCCTCATAGAGAGATTTCAATTAATTTTTTTGTTTTGTTTTAGAATGTATTGACTTATTTAAACTACCTATTTTAGGAAGCATTCAAAGCTGTGGAAGATATTCATGGGCTATTTTCCTTGTCTAAAAAACCACCTAAGCCTCAGTTGATGGCAAATTACTATAACAAAGTCTCAACTGTGTTTTGGAAATCTGGAAATGCTCTTTTTCATGCATCTACACTACATCGCCTTTACCATCTGTCTAGAGAAATGAGAAAGAATCTCACCCAAGATGAGATGCAAAGGTAGGAATGTTAAAGTTGGATAATTTTGAAAATATGAAACAAATGTCTAATACCAGGTGACATGGAAGTGGTCTCAGTCAAGCTTTCTCAACTTCTGCTCCTTTGAACTTAGGACCTTTACACTTACTTAACTACATCCCCAACCCTTTTATAAGTTTGTATTTTCAGACAGTTTTAGTCACTAAATTGCCTAGGCTGAGTTTGAACTTGGAATCCTTCTGCCTCAGCCTCTCAGACCACTGGGATTTTAGCAGGCATGCACCACTGTGACTGGCTTGGAGTGGGTAATTCTTTGTTGTGGAGCACTGCTCTGGGCATCCTAGGATGTTCCTGTACCCATTAGCTAATGGCAGTCCCCCCATAATTGTGATTTCCTAAACTGTCTCCTGACATGGCTTTTCTTGGACAATATTTTTGGTCTTCAGGAGCCATCTTTTGTCAGATAACCAACTCTACCAAGAGCCTACTTGAGAAAATTGAGTATTAGGGCTGGGGATTTAGCTCAGTGGTTCTGGCACCCGCCTTGCAAGTGCAAGGTCCCGAGTTTGATCCCTGGCACCAAAAAAATAGAAAATTGAGTATTAGGAGAGACCAGTGTTAACAGGTAGAGTTTATTAAAATTTTAGACAAATAATTCTATCAAGTCATTTTTTTTTTTTTTTTTGGTACTGGGGATCGAACTCCGGTCCTTGCGCTTGTGCAGCAGGCGCCGAAACTAATGAGCTAAATCCCCGGCCCTATCAAGTCATTTTTTAAAAATTATAGAATATTAGTTGTAGAATGCAGATGCTTTTTGACTTATAGTAGAGTTATGTCCCAGAAAACCTGTTTTAGGTTGAACATCTGTAAGTAAAAAGTGCATTTAATGCGCCTGACCCACTGAACATCATAGGCTCATGTTGCTACTATAGGGCCATGGTGGCGAACCTATAGCACACATGCTGCAGCAGGCATTTTGTATCATTGAAAGCTCTAAAAGGTTTGCCAATCACTGCTCTAGGTACCAGTTGTTTACTGATTGCGTGGCTGACTGGGAGCTGTTGCTCACTCCCACTGTTTGCCATTTGGAGAGCCAGAACTTATGTCGCCAGTCTGGTGGAAAAGATCAAAATTCACAGTATGATTTCTATTGACATACTTTCACACCATGGTAATTCCAAAATATTTTAAGTTGAACCATCAAAATTATGTACTCGTCGGGGATTTGGCTCAGTGGTGCCACCACCTGCCTCAAAAGTGCAAGGTCCTGAGTTTGATCCCTGGTACCAAAATTGTATACTCATCTGTAGTTGGAAGATACATGTATATATATATATATATATTTTTTCCCTATATTTATATAATCACACGCAAGTATTTATGAATATTTTTTAAAAGGGTCTGTAACCCAGCAGACCACTCTTAAAAAAATGTACATCTTGTTTTCTTTCACTTGTACTTTTTCTTTGCTTTTGGTGGACCTGGGATTGAATCTGAGTCTCTTTTTTTTTTTTGTTGGTACTGGGGATTGAACTCAGGACCTTGCACTTGCGAGGCAGGTGTGGTGCCACTGAAGAGTCTAGGTCTTCATGCTATGCTAGGCAAGTCACTGAACTATATTCTCAGTCCCTCAGTTACTTTTTTTTTTTTCTTCAGTACCGGGCATCCTTCTGCTTGCTGGGTAGGCGCAATGCCACTGAGCTACACCCCTGCCCCCTCCCTGATTTACTGCTTTTTTTTTTTTTCATTTAGTTTATTGGTACGTTTTAGGTATACAATTACATTCATCATTGGGACCTTGTACCTTTACATGATGTATCTTGGTTCTTATATTTTTCCCCATTCTTCCCTTCCCTCACCCCCTCATTTACTTTCTTTTTAATTTTTTTTGTTTTGTTTTGTTTTTGTTTTTTTTTTGGTACTGGGGATCAAGCTCAGGTCCTTGTGCTTGCGCAGCAGGTGGCAAAACTACTGGGCTAAATCCCTGGTGCACCCCCCCCCCCATTTACTTTTAAAATACATTTCAGTTGGATTTAGGGCAATTCACATACCAGTTTTTTTGTTGTTGTTGTTAGACCATGTTATTTGGCTTTTGGTAGAATTATGTACATCATGTTTTTCTTACAGTTTTATAGCTATACAGAGAACTAACCAAATGAATTGAAGAGCATCCATCATGTTTAGTCATTGTTTTATTAGTTTCACATAGGGAAAATTTGTTTTCCTTTAAGATACTAATGAGAGAAAAAAAGATACTAATGAGGTGTGATTAAATACACAGTAAGAATTTAAAGCTTAGAGAATGATCATTGTGGTGTTGCAGGCCTGTAATCCCAGCCCTTGAGAGCTGAAGCAGGAGGATCACTGCGAGCTTGAGGCCAGCCTGGGCTACATAGTGAATTCAAGGCCAGCCTGAACTACAAAAATAAACTAAAACAAAAAAATAAAGTTTAGAAAATGTATTACTATAAAAGACACATTGCCATTAGTCCCCTCAAAATACTCTCCTTTGCTACACTTGATCTTAGCCAAAAGGCCGAGAAGTGATCTCTCCCTTGCTTCAAACATGCTTAGCCCATTGTTTGTGGCACTCCCCCCCCCCCCCCGACCGAGCATTGAACTCAGGACCTTGTGCTTTTGAGGTAGGTGCAGGGCCACTGAGCTGATTTCCCCGGCCTGTTTTGGATTTTTGAGACAAGGTTTCATTTTGTATTTTAGGCTGGCCTTCAACTCATGTAGCACAGGCTGGCCTTCAACTCAAAGTCCTTCTGCTTCAGCCTCCTGAGAGCTAGGATTACAGGCATGCACTACATGTCTGGCTTTTTGTTTTTACCACGTTCTCAGTTCTTGTTTCTTTGTTTGTTTTGGTACTGGGGATTGAACTCGGGACCTTGCGCTTTCAAGGCAGGCGCCGGAACCACTGAGCTAAATCCCCTGCCCTACTTTCTCAGTTCTGAAGTTCTCTTTCAAGTGTGTAGGAGGTGTAAAAACATAGTGAGTGTAACTGCTGAGTGCCATCTAATGGAAAGGCAAAACAGAAAGGCCCCAAAAAATTACATTGAGTCCTCATCTATCTTATTCATTGGATCTGGTCTCCCTAGTCAAAATGAATAAATGTGTTGAATCAATTCAGGACATAGAGGCAGTTATGGCAATACAACTGAAGAGGACTCCCTGAACTACTTCAGAAAGTGACAAGAATGGTGGGAAACTGCTCAAAGGGAGAAGGGGTGTGATTTGAGTGGGATTCATGGTAATAGTTCTTTCACTGTAAAACATTTTGAAATTTAAATACTAACCACCCTTGCATCATACCTCCTATACTGTTCCCACAGTGAGTACACTTAATAGGAGTATCAGGTTATTTATCCCTCTTACATTGTCTGGATTAATCTTCATAAAGTCCTTTATTTTCAGAAAATTCACTATCTTGCCTAATATCATTGAAATAACGAAGCTAAAATTCAAGCCTCCAACTCTTGGGCTCCAAAGTGTTAGTCCTTAGTGTTCCTTGGCGCTCTGAATTTAACACTTTCATGACAGGACTGTAATTCATATGTTTTGGCTGCTGGTTGCTCTGATTTGAATTTAATCATTCCTGCTGGCTTAAACCACAGGTGGTACATGCATGACTGTCCCATTGGGTGGCTTGTACAGCTTCTCATGGGGTTTTTGATTACAACAGTGCAATGAAAAGAGTTGATTTAGCAGACCAGATGTCATCCTATTTACAGTCCCTTAAGGAGAATGTTAAAATGGTATAAGAAAATTGCAACTCAGCTAAGTTGTAGTACAGCAGTTGTAAATGTGTATTATATACACCAGCAATAGGGTATTTATAAGATTTCCATGTTAAAATTCAGAGAATTGTTGATAAATTACTCATGAATATTTCTTTTAATGAAATAAATTGATTTATAATAATTTAAAAATTGGTATGAGTAGTATTAAAATACTTTTATATTTGGGCATTAATTAATCAAGATTCAAGCAACTAGATTTGGTCCATTTATAGACTATTTTATTAGTAGAAAGACTGATGGATGAGATCTATTTGTACTCCTGGTGGTACAAGCCACTTGTTGACAGTCATTAAGCTTGTACCACTGGTGATTCAAGCTGGTAGCAATGTGAATCTGACTTTCTTATGTTTGAGAGAAGTGAAAATTGAGCTTTTGGCTCTCTCTCCTCCTTTGGTTACCATAACTGTGTTCACTTACAGTCCTTGTAATATTTTTCCTTACTGCCATTTATTTGCTTAGTTGTTAAAGTGCCTTAGCAACTGTGCTTTTTCTACCATTTAATCACAGTTTTGTTTAGAAAATGACAATAGTGAGTAGGTGAAGTTTTGATTGTACAAGTGTTCATTTAAGCAAGGTCCATTTTTCTTTTAACTAATCCCATGCTGTGATGGAATAATATATAGTTTGCCATAGTGTGATACATATTCTGTGTCTGGCATATCATATAGATTAAAGAGAAATTTCAGTGCTTTTCTGCTTACCAAGCAACATTTACAGACTTAATTGATTTAACTTTGTTCACTACAGAATGTCTACTAGAGTCCTTTTGGCTACTCTTTCCATCCCTATTACCCCTGAACGTACAGATATTGCTCGACTTCTGGATATGGATGGCATTATAGTTGAAAAACAACGTCGCCTTGCAACGCTGCTAGGTCTTCAAGCCCCACCAACGCGAATTGGCCTTATTAATGATATGGTTAGTAGAAGTTTGAGCATTTATAGCTTTGGACTGAAAACTTGGGAAAGGTTTAGTAATTCATGATTGAATACTGGGAATTCTGATTCATTGCCAGGCGATTCTGATGCATGAACAGAGATAACCATGGTATAAACGAGCACTTTGTTTATTTGAGGCAGTTCTCTGCAGTGGGATCTGGAGTTAAATTGGTAGGAGCGTTGATGTAGCAGGAAGTGGACTGGTCCTCTTGGACACTCAGATTGAGGAAAAGTAACACTAGGCAAGAAGACCATGGATTACAGTAAGTCCCTGACTTAAGAATGAGTTCTGTTCTGGGAGAATTGTTTGTAAGTTGGATTCGTTTATATGCCAACAAAATGAGTCTTACACAGTATACTTGTGAAAGTTCACAACTCAGATGTTCATAAGCTGGGGACTTAACTGTAGAGATGACGATAAAGCCAACAGAGAAGTTAAGACGTCGGTTCTGTACACATATGGTATTACCAGCTTTTTTCTCTTTCAAGCTTTAGTTTTATGTTATTAAAGCAGTGGTTCTTAATCAGGGTCATGCAGTGAAATGACTTTGTAACTGGTACATAAACTGCTACCCGAGAAGATGTCCCAGTTGGTCCTCACCTGCACAGCATCTTCAGAACAGATAAGTAATCAGCAGAGAGCAGCGTCCTCAGTGCTTGCAAAAGCACTTGACATTATCAAGACAGCTCACACTGGCATATGCTATCGTCAGTCATCCATGGGTTGGGGATTGATTCCAGGTCACGTAGGGATACCAAAATCTAGAGATGGGCAAGTCCCTTAACTAAAATGGCATGGGATTTGCACTACACTAACTTCCTGTAAACTTTAATCTTTAGATTACTTATAGTATCTGACTATGCAAATAGTTATACTTTATTGAGAGAAAGGCAAAAAAGTTCCTGTGCAGATGTGAGTTTTTCCCCTGAATATGTTTGTCATCCGTGGTTGATTGACTACATGTGGAACCTGAGGATAGGGAGGCCCAACAATTAAATGAACAAAACACTGTCCTGTTGAACATTTGAGTTTTCTCTCTTTGGGCCTAATAAGAATAGTGCTGTTCTGGGCCAGGGATTTAGCTCAGTGGTTTCACCGCCTGCTGCACAAGCACAAGGACCCGAGTTCGATCCCCGGTACCAGAAAAAAAAAAAAAGAATAGTGCTGTTCTGATGTTTGTGTGGTGATTTACATAAAAGTAAATGATTTTGTAAGCTCTGATTTTTTTTACTTGTTATTGGTAATGAGATAGTCTGGATTGGCCACAGTACTTAATCTTTGCAAATACTTTACTGTGATAATTTTACTTCTCAAGTTCTTGGGGGCTTTTCACTATAGGTTGATGCATAACTTAACAGTTAATAGTTTGGATTGTGTTTTGGTAAATTTAAAAGGGAACTTGAGGATAGGCAGTCTTATAGTCATTTTCTAGGTTTCCAGTCCTGTACTTTATACTCAGTTTATTTTCAGTTTATACTTTGTTTATCATAGTTGGACATTTTCCTTCAGTAATTTAAATTTTATTGTATTTTTTTTGGTACTGAGGATTGAACTCGGGACCTTGCGCTTTCGAGGCAGGTGGCGGCGGCACCACTGACCTAAATCCCCAGCCCTAATCTTTTTTTTTTTGCTTGTTGTAGGTCAGATTTAATGTGCTACAATATGTTGTTCCAGAAGTGAAAGACCTTTATAACTGGTTGGAAGTAGAATTTAACCCGCTAAAACTCTGTGAGAGAGTCACAAAGGTAAGCCATTGTCTTTTTTTTTTTTGAGCTTGCTTCTATTTATTTATTTATTTATTTATTTGGTACATTTTAGGTATACAATATGACATTCATCCTTGGAAATTTGTACTTTTACATAATCTACCTTGGTTGTTATTTTTTCCCCATTTTCCTGCCCTCCCATCAACATTTCCACAGCCATTATCTTTGGCAGTTTTGTCAATGTGTAGCTAGCGCTGCAATTTCGGTTTGTATCTGTCAACAGAAGTTTTGTCCCATATGTTTGAAATAGTGCACATTTCATTGTCTTTTTTCTTTATATCAAGAGAAAAGATATTTCTGATGTGCTAGACAACCTTTGAAGGTAAATTAGCAGCATGACTGATTTAGCCATTGCTGTCAGTCACCTTCAGACAAGAATTAACAGCTTTGTGATAAATTTTGAATTACCTTGCCTGTGTGATGTTTTTGTATATTAAAAAAAATTGAAAGAATTTCAGATGTTTTAGGTCTGTTACATAGTATTCTTTCTCAATTTAATGGATTTTATAGGTTCTAAATTGGGTAAGGGAACAACCTGAAAAGGAACCAGAATTACAGCAGTATGTGCCACAACTGCAGAACAACACCATACTTCGCCTCCTGCAGCAGGTAAGATGTGCGTGAATGTTTATGAAGGAACTGGAACATAACCTGTTTTTGTTTTTTGTTTTTTTCTTCTTTTTGCAGTGCTGCTGGGGTCAAACCCAGGGCCTCCAGCATTTAGGCAAGCTACATCCCCAGCCCATTGGGTGTATATTTTGATCACAAAATCAAAAGCTCAGCAAATTTAGAACTGCCAAATGAAAGCCTCCCCAAATTCTACTCTTGCCCAAATTAGTGGTGTTGTCATTTTAAAAACAGAATTATGTATAACTGCTTTTTTTTTTTTAGCTGAATATTATCTTTGTGTGTTTTCCTTGTTAATAATGTGGGGTTACCTTATTCCTTTCAATACTGACAGTGGTTTTTCATAGTCAAAAGGTATATATAGTGCAGGGCTGGGGTTTAGCTCAGTGGCATTGTGCCTGCCTCGCAGGCGCAAGGTCCTGGGTTTGATTCCTGCTACACCAAAAAAACAAAAGGTATAGTGCGATGTTGGCGAACCTTTTAGAGCTTTCAGTGATACAGCCTGCTCCAGCACGCGTGCCATAGGTTCCCCATCACTGGTATAGTGTATTTATGCAGACTTTATTAATGAAAACCTGGTTTCTAGTTTTTTTTACCTCTGTTAGTACCACTACAGCATTGAGTATCTTGTGTGTCATACAGTACAGTGGGACTTTCTGTAGCATAAGAAGTGGAATTAGTTACATAGTTTGCACAATTAAATCTTAAGTTACTTCCTCAGACTTGATTAATAGACTCCCACCAATAATGAATGAGATTTTTTCATATTCTGCTAACACTAGGTATTAGGATCTTATAGTCCATCTTTGAGTAAGTTTGAATGTTATCGTTTATAATGACTTCGGTGCTCCTGCTTTCTTTTGTTTATGTGAGCAGTGTTATTTCTTATGTGCTATATAAATAGTTGAAGGTTAATTAGCAGAATAACTATAAATAGTAATGCTGCCAGTCTCCTTCAGACAGAAATTTTATGAAGTGTTTAAAGATTAGATTACCAGCATGTCTTTATCTACAAATGCATTTTATTTTACAAAACTCCAATTTCAAAAATAGTGGGGGGGGCCTGGGATTTAGCTCAGTGGTTCTGCTGCCTCCCTTGCACAAGCACAAGGTCCTGAGTTCGATCCCTGGTACCAAAAAAAAAGTAAATAGTGGGCTGGGGATTTAGCTCAGTGGTTCCTCCACTTGCCTCGAAATCTCAAGGTCTCAAGTTCAATCCCACAGTACAAAAAAAAAAGTAGTATAATGTGATGGTTCATACCATAAAATTTGGAGTTGATAGTCTGCGATTGATTTTCAGCCTCAGCAGTGTCCTGTTAAGATAACTTGTCTGAACTTTAAATTTTTTTTCTCTGAACAATGGGTAAAATTTCCCAGGGATGTCATGAGATTCTACATAAAAAGTGCTGAGTAGGGCCGGGGATTTAGCTCAGTGGTTTCTCCACCTGCTGTGCAAGCGAAAGGACCCCAGTTTGATCCCTGGTACCAAAAAAAAAAAAAAGTGCTGAGTAAATGGCAGCTATTATTATTAATTAACCCTGTGTTTTTTATACAGGTGGCACAGATTTATCAGAGCATTGAGTTTTCTCGTTTGACTTCTCTGGTTCCTTTTGTTGATGCTTTCCAACTGGAACGGGCCATAGTAGATGCAGCCAGGCACTGCGACCTGCAGGTATGTACTGTAAGGGAGGGGATATTGAGGTGGGCATTTGAGAATTAGAATGACAAGCTGCTTTTGTTAACAGTGGCACATTTTAAAAGTTTCACTTGGTAAATTTCATTCATAGCTTTGGTACTTAACGTTCGTTTCTTTCTGAAATTCAGTTGAAATTGTTTTAATCATGCTATTTGTAGAACGACTTAATGTTAACATAGTTTTAACTGGTCCTTACTGTTTCTTTAAAGGTTCGTATCGACCACACTTCTCGGACCTTGAGTTTTGGATCTGATTTGAATTACGCTACTCGAGAAGATGCCCCAATTGGTCCTCATCTGCAGAGCATGCCTTCAGAACAGATAAGAAATCAGCTGACAGCCATGTCTTCAGTGCTTGCAAAAGCACTTGAAGTCATCAAGCCAGCTCACATATTGGTAAACATCTTCAGGGAGAATGGTTCATAGAAGTTTTTTTTTTTTTTGAAGCAAAATACTGATTTGTACATTTTACATATACATAATGATAACACTCATCATAGGGAATTTGCACCTATACATGACATATGCTGTCGCTTCTTTTTTTCCCATTCCCTCTCTCCTCTACCTCCCCTTCCTATATTTTTTTTCTTCTATTTTCACTTTTATCTTGTCCCTTCCTTCCTTTCTCCCCTACCCCGTCCTTTGTTCCTCTTCCCATTGGTTCACAGAAGTTTTGAGGGACTTCTGTATCACGTCTTTGACAAAATGGCTTGGGATGATAGCTGAGAGAAGGGACTTACTTGTACCAGGTCATTTTGTTAGTTTATGAAATACCTTTAGCAGATAAATCACTGAACTACTTTCTGTGGCATAAAATAGTACACAACACAGGCTATGTAGTAACAGTGGTAGTGTTGTATAAAATAGCACTGTGTGTATCATGGCCCTCAGAATAGTGAAGTACCATGATTGGGCCTTTTCTTCTTGCTTAAATTATTGTTTGTAGCTTTGTTAATATTCTACCTTGTCTTGGACACTTAGGGCTGATTTGGTATAGAGATGTTGGCTCAGCAAGTAAAGGTGGTTCTTTAGCTATATCATTGCTGTTCAAAGACATTAAAAGTGGTGCTACAGTATTTGGTGCTAGAAAAGAATAGCCTAGATAATACTGTTTTTTTGTTACAAAATATAAATACATTGAAGGGTAATTTTGTAATGTCTTTGATATCTAATACCAATGTATATTGCTTTCAGTTATGTTTTAAAATGCTTTTATTTTTGAAGCAAGAGAAAGAAGAACAGCATCAGTTGGCAGTTACTGCGTATCTTAAAAATTCACGAAAAGAGCATCAGCGTATCCTGGCTCGCCGGCAGACAATTGAGGAAAGGAAAGAGCGACTTGAAAGCCTAAATATTCAGCGTGAGAAAGAAGAACTGGAGCAGAGGGAAGCTGAACTCCAGAAAGTACGGAAGGCTGAGGAAGAGAGGCTGCGCCAGGAGGCAAAGGAGAGAGAGAAGGAGCGGATCTTACAGGAACATGAACAAATCAAAAAGAAAACTGTTCGTGAGCGTTTGGAGCAGATCAAGAAAACAGAGCTGGGTGCGAAAGCATTCAAAGATATTGATATTGAGGTATGTAGCATATCACCCATAAAGAACTGCGTTTTATCCAAGTCTTTTATTGGTTATTTCATAATTTTTTAATTTTGGTACCAGGGATTGAACTGAGGACCTTGCGCTTGCGAGGCAGGCAGCGGCACCACTGAGCTAAATCCCCGGCCCTATTTCATACGTTTTGTTAAAGCTAGCTTTATTGACTCAGTCTATAAGCATTTGCTTTTAATTGCTCTGTAGCTTTTAACCTCTGATTTCATCTAGTGGTAGAGTTTAAGTAGATGTAGACTGGACAAGTGAGAAATAGAAATAAGGCTATTGAGTGGTGGCATACACCTGTAATCCCAGCACTTACTTGGACAGCTGAGTCAGAAAGATTGCTGTTGAGTTTGAGGTCAGCCTGAGCTACATAGCAAGACCCTGTCTCCAAAAAAAAAAAAAAAAACAAGCTATTTACAGTAGCTTTATATTTCCTAGGTCCTTCAATTATTTTATTGGTTTTTTTTTTTTTTTGGTACTGAGGATTGAACTCTGGACCTTGTGCTTGCAAGGCAGGCACCAGAACCGCTGAGCCAAATCCCCGGCCCTATATTTCCTAAATTAGCACCAAAAGAAACATTTATCAAACAGTAATTTCGGATTTCATTCTAGACAGCAGTGAGCTCTGTTGACTATTAGGTGTATTATTAACAAGGATATATTTGTATTTCCTTTCAGGACCTTGAAGAATTGGATCCAGATTTCATCATGGCTAAACAAGTTGAACAACTGGAGAAAGAGAAGAAGGAACTTCAAGAACGCTTAAAGAATCAAGAAAAGAAGGTAAATGAAAGGATCAGTGAACTTTTAACATGTTATAGCAATGAGTTAAAAGAGCTCTTTTAAAAAAGTGCCATGTTTTCTTGTCATTCAGATTGACTATTTTGAAAGAGCCAAACGTTCAGAAGAGATTCCTTTGATAAAGAGTGCTTATGAGGAGCAGAGGATTAAAGATATGGATCTGTGGGAACAGCAAGAAGAAGAAAGAGTAAGTTTTTTATTTAACTGTACTTTCGACTTTAAACTTTAAATCCTTTACTGTTAATGGAACCAGGGTTCCAAAATTGATTGAAAATGATGTTTTAATAGCTGCTTACTAACAGATTGGTGGAAAAACAGAAATTTTCACAATAGATTAAATATAACACAAAGCATAACCAGAAAGCTTATTTTAAAAATATCTTTACAGGGCCGGGGATTTAGCTCAGTGGTTCCACCACCTGCCTCGAAAGTGCAAAGTCCTGAGTTTGATCCCCAGTACCAAATAAAAATCTTTACACTTTAAGTGGGTTATTTAAATGGGTTAATTGTATGGCATGGGTGTATAATTCATAGTTTCCGCTTGATTTATAAAATTGTGCAACAGTCACCACAATCTTAATTTCAGAACACCTCCCAAAGAAACTCTGTACCTATTATCAGTACCTCTTAGTCTCCATTTCCTTCCCATCACCTTAGCTTTAGGCAGTCACTAATCTACTTTTTGTCTCTAGATATTTTTTTTTTTTGTACCAGGGATTGAACTTGGGACCTTGTGCTTGCGAAGCAGGCGGCAGAACCACTGAGCTAAATCCCTGGCCCAAGAACATGCCTTTAAAGACTAAGTCATTGTGCTTATTACATGTGACATTCATTTCATTTTATTGCATATATATTGTTTCTTTTAAAAAGAATTTTAGGCATCATGGGCTAAATAAAATCTATCTGTTCTACAGATGCCCCAGAACTACTATATTTGTCTCTTGTGTTTAATTGGCATTCTAGGGAACCTTTTGTGGTACGGCAAGATGGAATGTGGGAAAGAGTGGCTTCTAATTTTTAAAGAATATCTGGCGCCTGCTGCGCAAGTGCAAGGACCTGAGTTCGATCCCCAGTACCAAAAAAAAAAAAGAATATCTGGTAGAAATTTGGGGATAATCAGCAAGAAACACTTTGAAATTTAACTGTGTTATTTTGTACTTGCAGATTACCACTATGCAGCTAGAACGGGAAAAGGCTCTTGAACATAAGAATCGAATGTCACGAATGCTTGAAGACAGAGATTTATTTGTGATGCGACTCAAAGCCGCCCGGCAGTCTGTATATGAGGTGAATTTACTGGTTTTAGAGAAAGTTTGTGAGCTTTTTAGTTTTACCTTAAGTTGTCCCTATTTTATATTATGGTATCAGGGATCGAACTCAGGACCTTGCGCTTGCGAGGAAGGCGGTGGAACCACTGAGCTAAATCCCTGGCCCAGTAGTCGCTCTTTTAATATACTGGTGCATTTTGTCTTGAATTACATGTCTAATAATGATTAGTCAAATCATATTTTAATGAAATTTTGGGGGAAGTATTTTATAAGTGAAATAGTAAGCCAGTTGAATAAAGTTTTCTAAAGGTGATAGTTGCCTGGCTTAGTCTCCTTTGGTACAACCTTTTGTTTGCTGTTTAATTCAGAAATGAAAAAACTAGACACAAGTATATTGGTGTTAAATTCTAATTTATCTTTATAGACCCACTGAGTTGAAGAAAATACCAACAGCCAGGGATTTTAGCTCAGTGGTTCCACTGCCTGCCTCACAAGCTAAGGACCTGAGTTTGATCCCCAGTACCAAAAAAAAAAAAAAAAAAAAAAGAAAATACCAACAATCTTAAATGTCTCCCCTTTACCCCCAGGTAGTGGGGATTGAACCCACTACCTCTACATCTAGAGGTGCTACATCTCCACCTGCCTTTTTATTATTTGAGACAGGGTTTTGCTTTGTTCCCCTGGCTGGGCATGAACTTACCAGCCTCCTGAGCAGTGTATACCACTTCACCTAGCTCTGACAAACTACATTTTTGAAAATTTGGCATACTCATTCATTTGGAAAGTCTGGCTTTAGGTGGAAGTTCCTTTCTGTGGTTCCAAGAGATTTGTGAGTCTTTTGACAGTTAAAGAAGCGTACCCCTAATTTGTGTCTTCTGAGAAATTTTTGTTTTTGGTGATGATTCATTTGCAGGAAAAACTTAAACAGTTTGAAGAGCGATTAGCAGAAGAAAGGCACAATCGCTTGGAGGAACGTAAGAGGCAACGTAAAGAAGAACGCAGAATAACTTACTATAGAGAAAAAGAAGAAGAGGAGCAGAGGAGGGCAGAAGAACAAATGATAAAAGGTAACTATATAGACCAAGATGGGAGGAGGAGTGAGTGAAGCAGTTAATGCTAGCATTCTTAACAAATACAAGAATCCTGGATAATTGGCCTCTTAGCACTACAGTTAACTGGGTTCTTTGAACTAGTTTGTTATATGTTAAGATACTGCATCTGTGAACTTGTTTTCACACGTTTGACATTATTTTTTTATTTGTTTTTTTGGTAATGGGGATCGAACTCGGGACTTTGTACTTGCGAGGCAGGCACCGGAACCACTGAGCTAAATCCCTGGCCCCGTTTAACATTATTTTAAAAATTGATACAGGTGTTTTTATTACTGTATTCTTTTTTTTTGGTACCAGGGATCGAACTTGGGTCCTTGCATTTGCACAGCAGGTGACGAAACCACTGAGCTAAATCCACGGCCCACTGTATTCTGTGTAGATAATAGTATTAATTGATTGATTGATTGATTGTACCGGGGATCGAACTCGGGTCCTTGCACTTGCAAGGCAGGCGGTGGAACCACTGAGCTAAATCCCCAACCCCGATAATAGTATTTATTGAGGAATGCTTGGCAGATGAAGGTTGTCAAGTGGTCTTATATCTGGAATCCCAGCTGTGCAGGAATGGAGGGAGGGATTCTAGCCTCCTAACTGATTACAAAACTTGAGTGACATACTCGTTTTCTTAGTATCTTCTACCATTTATCTGATTGCTATTTTCAAATTCTTAAAATTTACCTTTGTGGTTCTTACTGAGTACCAGAAAAGTGGGCCTAGCACTGGGGAAAAGCTGCTGGTATGAGGCACACTTAGCAATCTAATTCATTTTGCAGAGCGAGAAGAGAGAGAGAGAGCTGAACGAGCAAAACGTGAAGAAGAGCTTCGAGAATATCAGGAGCGGGTCAAGAAACTAGAAGAAGTGGAAAGGAAAAAACGCCAAAGGGAGTTGGAAATTGAAGAAAGAGAGCGTCGTAGAGAGGAAGAAAGAAGACTTGGTGATGATCCACTGTCTAGGAAAGTGAGTATAGAAATAATTGTGTTTATCTTAATGAGATCCATGTTTGCTAGCTAATTGCTTGACTACTAGAGGGTGACACTGGCTCTCTTTGGTGGGTCAGCCTGTAAGCACCACCCAGGAGCATGTTGGCAGTGCTGAGTCCCAGCCCACCCAAGCTTCTGACTCAACCTGCAGGTTGACCATGTTCCTAGATGATTGAGATAGTTGTTTTTAATATGCACTTGAGTTGTATGTTCTGTTATCTTATAGGTCTTGATGTCCTGAACTCAATGATGATTTGTTACCCACATAATCATAGGACTTGGAGTTTGCCTTTCTCTTTGTCCCTACATTATTGCCTCATTTCAAATGTTCCATCACTTCCTGGTTTCCTTATTAGTCTCCACAATCATATCCACCCAATTGTCCTCTACAACATGACCTGATTGATTTTTTCATAATGTGGAATCTTTCATAGCTTTACAAGTGTCTTTTTCATTTGCTTTTTTGAGATAGGGTCTCACTTTGTAGTTCAAGCTGGCCCTGAACTCACTATGTAACCCAGGCAAACCTTGAACTCTTGGCGATCCTCCTGCCTCTGTCTCCTGAGTGCTGGGACTACAGGCATGCACCACTACACCTGGCTTTTTCAGATGTCTTATTACAACAAGCTGGGAAATTTTCTTTTTTGTACTGGGGATGGAACTTAGGACTTTCTGCTTGGGAGGCAGGTGTGGTGCCACTGAGCTAAATCCCCAGCCCCTGCTGGGAATTTTTGTTTCAAGATCACTACGCATTTCTCAACATGTAACTCTTGATACTTGCTTAAGTTTTTTAAAATAAACGAGTAAATAAATTTATTTATTTTTGGGGTACCGGGAATCAAACTCGGGACCTTGGCCTTGCGAGGCAGGTGGCAGAATCACTGAGCTGAATCACCAGCCCCTTAATAAATTTATTTTATTTCCTTGCATTCCTGCCCTGAAAGCTTGCTTTGAGTTTTATAGCCATGTTTGCAAACATTTAGACCAAAATATGTTTGCTCTGTGTCACGTTTTCCTTTTTTCAGTTGATTTTTTTTTTGTTATCTCAGTTCTTTCCAGAGTGTCCGTGTGTGCTGCAAAAGGTTTCTTTGTCACAGTTTAAAATTATCATCTTGGTTTTTTTTTTTTTTGCACCAGGGATCGAACTCAGGGCCTTGAGCTTGCACAGGAGGTGGCGAAACCACTGAGCTAAATCCCCGGCAGATTATCATCTTGGGCTGGGGATTTAGCTCAGTGGTTCTGCCGCCTGCCCCGCAAAGACAAGGACCTGAGTTTGATCCCTGGTACCAGGAAAAAAAAATTATCATCTCAGAAATGTGGAGATCTTTGCTTGATCTCTTTTTGTACACAGTGTCATGGAGGGGAGGGTTCTTGATAGTGGTGTCGTTACTTCTGTAGATACTGTTTTATTCCATGGAAACTTCCAGAGTTTTCTGTGTCTTTACAGTAAAAATAATTTAATAAATTCACTAATATTATGTTTAGGCTTATTGCATATGATCTCCCCCCTCCTTCCTTCCCTTTTGGCATTTTTGCCCTTAGAATTTAGTTTCTTTAGAGAAGACAAAATTTCTTTAAGGAAATATTTCTCCTTTTTCTGTTTTTATTCTGTCCTCTATTATATCTTTTAATGTTTTACTTTTTTTTTAATATGCTTTTTTAATGTTCTATTCTTGCCATCTTTGTTTTTTTTTTTTTTTTGTGCCAGGTTGCTTGAGTCTGGTTCAGTTTATATTTTATTAGCAGGACCCCTTCTGATCTCCTGACCTTCAAAAAAATTGGAAATGTTAATTCTTTCGGATCATTCCTGTTATGGCTATTACAGCACCCTTTGAAAACCTCATGTGAGGTTCTAATGTTTGTACTGTCTCCTCTAACCATTGGAGTCTTTGTTAAATGTTACTTACTGACCAGGTAAATGTGAGGGGGGGAGAAGGAAGCATGGTCTTCTAGATATGGATGTTCCTCCATAAAACTGACATTAAGTTGCATTGACTTTAAGGTCACATTTCCTCTCAGTGTTTACTTGAGAAAGTTTCTTAGGACAACCTCCGTCTTAAGACAGCGTAGAGCCGGATGTCATGGCAGGGGACAAATTTCTTATCTGGCCTTGCTTGTCCTTCTCTGCTTCTCTTCTATGGCCCTTGTAGAGGATTTCACTGCTTACTCACGAAATACTTTTTGTTTTTTGTTTTTGGTACCAGGGATCGAACTCGGGTCCTTGCGCTTGTGCGCGAAACCATTGAGCTAAATCCCCAGCCCTCATGAAATACTTTTGATTGCAGGTCACTGTCAGCTTTGTGGATTTTTAATTTAGTCTCCACCTCACTACCAGGTCTTGCTTTAAAATATCTTCCAGAGTGTTATGCATGTTTAAGGCCTTTGGTTACCTTTGTTGGAGCAGTAAAGTTGCATCAGAAGGTGTTTCTTATTTTTTTATTTTGTTTTGGTACTGGGGATCGAACTCGGGTCCTTGCACTTGTGCAGCAGGCAGCGAAACCTCTGAGCTAAATCCCTGGCCCGAGAAGGTGTTTCTGAGTAATGTTATTTACATTCATCTGTAAGGAGGAGGCCAGATTTGCATTTTTACTATAAGGATATTGAGTATCTTTGATATTTGCAATTTTTTTCCCTTGGTTTTTTGAGACAGGGTCTTGGATTATGTAGTTCAGGCTGGCCTTGAACTTGTGGCGATCATCCACCCCCAGCCTCTAAGGGGCTGAGATTACAGGAGTGTGGCACCTTACCAGGTCTTCCATAGTTTTTAATGACAGCACAATGCTTTGAAGAAATACAGTTAATATAGCCATTTCTTTAGTCATTCCATTTACTCTACCTTTTTGTGCTTAGTAGGTGTATTACTTGTTTATAAAGCTGTCCATCCACATCATGAGAATACTAGTTTCACTATGTTATCAGTCTGGTTGGAGATTTAAAAAGAGCTTAAAAGATATGCTCATATTTAAAGACTCGAAGTTGTTTAAGTTTGAGAATGTTTGGTAATAGTAGTGGTTGTAATAATAAACCATTATCGCTGTGGTACCTCTCGTTCTCTTTGTTGGTGCAGGACTCTCGTTGGGGAGATAGAGATTCAGAAGGAACATGGAGAAAAGGACCTGAAGCTGACTCTGAGTGGAGGAGAGGCCTGCCAGAAAAGTAAGTAGAGTTTTGGAAATACATAGTACCCCTGCTCATGGATCTTGGAAATATATCAGTGGTTTTTAAAAACTGGTTGATTTTTAGCGATGGAGAAAGGAGAGCCATAAAGAATTGCATACATGTCTTTAACTATTAGTGGACATTCATAATTTATTTCAATATTATTGTGATAAGTGACATAAATATCTTAATACGTGCTTCACCTCTCCTTTTCTTTGTTGCCCAACAGTTTACATGGTACGAGTGAACAGTTCCAGATTTTTCTTCTAGATTTGTTAAAGGATATTGAACCATCCTTTAAAATAAGAACTTTTGGTAGGCAAGAATTCAGGCTTCAATTTCCATACAGAAATTGGGTATTGGCAGATTGTTGTAAAAGATTTAGCAGTTGTCAGCATGTTCTTGGGAAAGAATGAATAGCTTTTTTTTTTTTAAGGCTATTGCTGTTTTGATCCATGTGTTGGTGTAAGATACTGGTTCTTTTATTTAAATTAGTAAAACATTCTTTTTTTTTTTTTTGGTACAGGGGATTGAACTTGGGTCCTTGCGCTTGCAAGGCAGGCGGTGGAACCAGTGAGCTAAATCCCCGACCCAGTAAAACATTCTTCTAAGGAGCAAGATTAATGGATTTAGACTGGTGATTTGGGAGGGGTTTGAGACAAGGTCTCACTGTGTAGCCCAGGTTGGCCTTGAACTCACTGTAACCCAGGCTGGCCTCAAACGAGCAGTGATCCTCCTGCCTCAGCCTTCCAAGTGCTGGTGGTGATTTTTTTTTTTTTTGGGTACTGGGACCTCGAGCTTGTGAGGCAGGCAGCAGAACGAACCACTGAGCTAAATCCCCAGCCCAGTGATTTTTTTTTTGAGGGAAAGAAAACATATTCCTTCCAAAATCTCAGTGCTTTCTAAAAAATTTTGCTGTTAAAAAATGTATGGCACAGGGGCCAGGGATTTAGCTCACTGGTTCCGGCGCCTGCCTTGCAAGCGCAAGGTCCTGAGTTCAATCCCTGGTACCAAAAAAAAGAAAAAAGAAAAAAAAATACATGGCTCAGACATTTCTCAGACAAAGAAGTAAAAACAGCAAATAAATATATGAAAAAATGTTCCACATACACTGGTTATTTGAGAGATGCAAATGAAAACAACACAGATTCCACCTCACCCTAGAAAGAACAGCTGCTATTAAGAAATCATCTAATAACAAATCCTGGCGGGGGTGTGGGGAGAGAAGAGCCCTTCTCCATTGTTGGTGGGAGTGCAGACTGTTGCAACCACTGTGGAAATCAGTATGGAGATACCTCAAAGAACTAGGACTAGAGGTCCCATTTGACCCAGCTATTCCCCTGGTGGGTATCTTCCCAAAAGAATTAGAATCTTAACCACAGCGATACATGTGCACCCATGTTTATAGCGGCACAGTTCGTAATAGTGAAAGCTTGGAAACAGCCCAAGTTCCCACTAACTGGAAACTGGATAAAGAAGATGTGGGTTTTTTTTTTTAATAAAATGGAGTACTACTCAGCCATAAAGGAGAAACTAGAGGCATTTATAGCTAAATGGATGCATATTGAGGCCATCCTCTTAAGTGAAATAAATAGGACACACATATGTAAATACTGAATAGTTTCTCTAGTGTGAAATGAAAATGGAATGGCCTAATAACATATTTCTCGGATTGTGTTTTCATCACGTGTCATATGACTACTGAAATTTAAATTAGGGAGAAGTTTGGCTTATGTGGAGTCTGCTAACTGGAGTTTTTATTCTAGATCATTATTTGTTCAATGTTGGTTTTGGGGATCTTTCTGAAACAAATCACATCCTCTGGTGTCCTGTTGGTGCTTGAGATGCTTTTTTAAGTTATATGGAAAAATGTTCAAGTACTTTTCAGTTTTGTTTTGGTTGAGTTCTACTGTATTTGAATATTATTGTTTTTTTCCCTTGCATTGTTTTTCTTTGAATGGTTTTAATTTTTTTTATGTGTGTTTTGTATGTGTGTTTGATAATAGTTATTTTAAAAATTAAAAATAAATATATGGCTGTTGCTCTGTAGGGAGTGGAGACGTGAAGGGCGGGATGATGAGAGACCTCATAGAAGAGATGAAGACCGCCCAAGACGCTTGGGGGAAGATGAGGAGAGAGAGTCTTCTCACAGACCAGATGACGACCGGGTGCCCAGGCGTGGCGTGGATGAGGACAGAGGCCCCAGACGTGGTCCTGATGAAGATCGCTTCTCTCGCCGTGGACCAGAAGATGACCGACCTTCCTGGCGTAATGCAGATGACGACAGGCCTCCCAGACGAATTGGTGACGAGGACAGGGGAAGTTGGCGTCATGCAGATGATGACAGACCACCTAGACGAGGACTGGATGATGACAGAGGAAGCTGGCGAACAGCTGATGAGGACAGAGGGCCGAGACGTGGGATGGATGAGGACCGGGTGTTGAGGCGGGGAGGTGCTGATGATGAAAGATCATCCTGGCGGAATGCTGATGATGACCGGGGTCCCAGGCGGGGCTTGGAGGATGATCGGGGTCCCAGACGGGGCCTGGATGATGACCGAGGTCCCAGGCGAGGGTTGGATGAAGACCGAGGAGCTTGGAGGAATGCGGAGGATGACAGGATCTCCAGGCGAGGTACAGATGAGGACAGGGGGTCTTGGAGAAACGTGGATGATGATCGAATCTCCAGACCCGGTCCCTGGAGACCATATGTTAAGCCAGGTAAAATTCTGTTATCTAGATGTCTAGTTCAGATGCTTTATGGAATCAGTTTGATGTGTTTACGTGTAGAAAATGAAATTTTGGCTTTTTTTTTTTTTGGTACTGGGGATAGAACTCGGGTCCTTGCACTTGCAAGGCAGGCGTTGGCACCACTGAGCTAAATCCCCAGCCCAGAAAATGAAATTTTAACGGATAGCAACAGATTGGGCTGTCTGATCGTTTTCTGTATAAATGGGTCTTTTTCTTTAAATGTCTTCTGCAGTGATTGCTGTTCCTCACTCCAAAATGAGTAACCCTCCTTGTCTTAGTGACATTAAGCTTGTTTTCTTTCTGTCACTCAACTGCTGCTTTGGAGGCTCTTTTGCATCCATTTCTTAAGTTCCGTCCTCGACCAGCCTCCATTTAAAAATAACTAAGAACCAAAATATGCTCTTACTAAGTATTTGTTCACATGCTTGCCCACCGTAGTACTACACATGGAAGGGCTCATTTTCTTACTTTCTTAGTCTTGAGCCTGCTTATCCTTTTATAGTTTATTAACTTGGATAAATTGTGTATGTTTCTGTGATACATTTCTGTTGTAACTGCATGCAGGTGACAAGTGCACGTTATGTACACAGCTCAACTCCCCCTACAAGCCTCATTGACACTACATGCAACCTATGCAAAACTGTATTCACCACTTCCCCCAACACACACACCTGCTTTTCTCTTTAGGGAGACCACTATCTAACTGCAGAAGCTAGAAGTCTGGGAGTTCTCCTTTGCTCTGATTTTTGTTTCATTCTTTACATGAAATCTTTAGTGCAGTCTTCTGCCTTTTTGATGCTCCTTAAATCCACCCACTTCTGCATTAACCCTGCTTGAACTTGGGCCACCATTATTATTTCTTTGATCCTGTCTCCTTACTAGCGTCTGCTGGTTTGCCCATACCGAGTTCTTATTAATTACATTACAATGTTCATTTTCACAGCTTCCTTTCTTATCTTAGTGGTTTCTATTTGTTCCACTCTCTATTCTGACCTCATGTCATTCCACCGTCAGCTCTGTGACCTGGATTAAGTGATTTAGCTCGTCTGTGTCTCATGCAAAATAGGGTTCACAGTACCATGGAGTCTCATTAAATTGTAGTTCTATAAGTTGTCATGAGTAATGAGGAATCCTAGAGGAAATACAAAGTTGCATTTCTTTGGTTATAACATTTTTGTTAGCCATTAGTATATAGCCATACTTAAAACAATACTGATGCATTAACATCGCCAGCAGTACTAGAACTCAAGCCTGAACAAAGTTTGTCTTAACATATATTTTCTGAGATACATGATAACTTTCTCGTGCTTGAGGACAGTAGCACTTGACCAGTATGCTGGGTAGTTAGTTTTAAGCAGTGAAGTCACCAGCAAAAATAAAAAATTTGAAAAGTATGGAATTAAGTAAATGGATCTTTAAACTGACATTTGTTTATAGGAACAGAGCTGAAACTTAAGAGGGCTGCCAACTTTGGCCAGTATCATGTATGTAGGGCAACTCGAATTTTTTGTTGCTTTACTCATGTGAAAGTGCCGTGAGTATTTTGGGCTTACAGAGTTTAGCAAGTATAGAACCTGATGATATTGAGGGTCAGTTCAGAGCCATTGATAGAATTAAATGAGTCAATTTTGGTAGAGGACTTAGGTAGGCAGTGTTTTAACACATGGTGATACCAGTGTTAATGACAATAATAGCTAGGGCCCGGGATTTAGCTCAGTGGTTGTTGCCTGCCTAGTAAGCGCAAGGTCCCGAGTTCAATCTCCGCTACCAAAAAATATATATTAATAATAGCTGTTAGCTTTGTAGTCATAATATGCTTTCATTGAAATCTTGAGTTCTTGTGTGAGATGCTGGTAGGACCAAAACATTTTATCCTTGTTTCATTGCTAGATGTTGGGTGGTAAGTGGTAGATGACAGGAATATGAAGGAAAAGGTTTTTTTGGTGTTGAAGGGTCTGAAAATGGGAGATATAAACTCATAATTAGAGTTCTATAGCTGGGTGTGGTGGCACACACCTGCAATACCAAGTACCCAGGAGCCGAAACCCAGTGGATTGCAGGTTTGAACACTGCTTAGGCAACTTACCCAGGCCCTGTCTCAAGTAAAATAAAAATTAAAGTTAAAAAAATAAAAAGGGCTGGGGATTTAGCTCAGTGGTTTTGCCACCTGCTGTGGAAGCACCAGGACCTGAGTTCCATCCCCGGTACCCAAAAAAAAAAGGGCTAGGGATCTAGCTCAGTGGTACAGTGCATGCCTTGTATGCTTGAGGCCATGAATTCAGTCCCCAGGATTGCAGTGGGGAAAAAACCTCAGAGCTCTAATTCTCCAAGAAAACATTGCATTTTCTCCTTAAATGAGTAGCGCGTTTACCATTAGGACAGATTTTATACTAAAAATCTCTGCTTACAACAGGAAAATTGAGTTTTTATTCTATGGAACATTCCACTCATACACGTATTGGGAACTGCCAGTGATGGGGTTTTTTTGTACAGTGGTGTACATGGCTTTAATATATGGTTTGTGTTTTTTTGGTACCAGGGATCGAACTCGGGACCTTGTGCTTGCAAGGCAGGCAGCAGAACCACTGAGCTAAATCCCCGGCCCTTTAATATTGCTTTAAATGAAGTTGGGAGTATCTTTTTAGAATGGTGATGAATTAATGCTGACATTAATATCTCTTTATGATTGCCAATTCACTGGGTTTTGTTGTTGTTGTTGAGACAGGGTCTCCCTCTATAGTTTTTAGGCTGGTCTTGAACTCACTATGTAGCTGAGGCTGGCCTTGAACTTGCAGTGATCCTCCTGCCTCAGCTTCCTGAGTGTTGGGATTGCAGGTGTGTACCACCATGCTCAGTGCCAAGTTTTCTTCTTGAATGGAAAAAATTTTTTCTTTTTTAAAAAATTAGGTGGATGGAGAGAGAAGGAAAAAGCCAGAGAAGAGAGCTGGGGTCCACCTCGAGAATCAAGACCATCAGAAGAACGTGAATGGGATAGGGATAAAGAAAGGGATAGAGACAATCAGGATCGTGAGGAGAGTGACAAAGACCCCGAACGAGAAAGGGACAGAGAGAGAGATGCCGATCGTGAGGATCGCTTCAGGAGACCCAGGTGGGGTAATCTCAGCAACTGTTTGTAGAGTTTGAGAGTTAGTGCTTTCCTGTATGTTCCAAACTACAGTGGACCCTTGACTTACGGACTTAGGAACTCAGTTGGTTCCTGAGGGTTGGTTGTAACTCAAGTTGGTTGTAAATCAATACAGATGAGATCTGGATGTTTACCTGGGCACATGCTATAGATAACAAGAGGCAGATGAATCTTCCATTAACCTCATTAGCCCAAGTTGTTCATATATCAGGTTAGTCGTAACTTGAGGGTCCACTATGTTTTTGAGAAATACTCTTCAACTCTTCCCCATTTGTCACAGACTAAAAAATTTTAGAGGTTATCTAATTGAACATTTGCTCTTAAAGGAGAAAATGGGGGCTTAAACTGTCAGTTGTGTAACTGTTGGGAAATTGAACCAGTTGAGGGGTCTTTACCAGTCATTGCTTTTTATGAGGAATCAGTTTTTATTGCTCTTAAATTATCAAAGCCCCTTCACTTTCATTAGGGATAAAAATTCAAGTTTATGCCAGGTGTGGTGGCACAGGCCTGTAATTCCAGCCCTTTGGAGGCTGAGGCAGGAGGATTGCTGAGTTCAGGGCCAGCCTGAGCTACATAGTTTCAGGCCAGCCTGGACTATATGTCTCAAGACCCTGTCTCAAAAAAAACAAAAAAAAAACACCTCTAATTTAAACTAATTTTGGCACAGTGAGTGGCCTTGTATTTATAAATCTACATCAGCACTGCCAAATATAATATGATTTTCTGCCAGGATGAAGTTGTTCTGTATCTGTACTGCCCAAAGTAGTAGCTAGCAGTCACATTTGGCTGTTGAGCACTTGGAATGTGTTCAGTGTTATTGAGGAACTGTCTTGATTTTATTTTAGTTAAAATTCAGGTAGCTGCCCACGTGGTTAGGGACTACCGTGTGCACCAACACAGTTCTAGGTGTCATTTGCTCTCTAAAAACTGAAGTATCAGATTGAGGTCAAGTTCTGAGGCTAAAGTTCATCCCTGTTACATTTATATACTCAGCACCAACTTCGGTGTGATGTAATCACTTACAATTACTCATCTAGTTTACCAACAGCAAGACTTAGCTTTTTAAATGGCTGCAGGGATGAAGGTGGCTGGAGAAGAGGACCAGCTGAAGAATCTTCGAGCTGGAGAGATTCAAGTCGCCGCGATGATAGGGATGACCGTCGTCGAGAGAGAGATGATCGGCGTGATCTAAGAGAACGACGAGACCTAAGAGAAGATCGAGATCGGAGAGGGCCCCCTCTCAGATCGGAACGTGATGAAGGTATGGGCTCGAAGCTGCCGGTGTACTGAAGAACGTAACTCGTGGGGGCTTGGGACTTTATGTATCTGTGAATTTGTTGAACACCAAAATAATATAAACAGTTGATACTTTTCCTATTTAGAATTTGTCATCAAGTTGTGAAATGAGCTCATCTGTAAATTCAGATTACAGTAATAGACTAAATTAAATAGTAAACAACAAATACTGATAAATTTTATTTAGTGAAAATGAAGGCATAGTTTACCAGTTATTTAAAAAAAGTCCTAGCTGGGTGTGGTAGGATCATGCCTTGTAACTCCCAGCACTCTGGAGCCTAAGGCAGGAGAATTGCTTCAGAGTTCAAGGATAGGACCTGGGGATTTAGCTCAGTGGTTCTGGCGCCTGCCTTGCAAGTGCAAGGTCCTGGTTCAATCCCTGGTACCAAAAAAAAAAAAAATAATAATTTCAGTGTATTTAAAATGTTCATTGTACGTAAGTACTTAACACTTTTAATATTTTGTCTGTATAGCAGCATCACAAGGCTATTATTCTATATTAAAGTCATCCCTGAGCCAAGCATGGTGGCACATGCCCATGCCTGTAATCCCAGCATTTGGGAGGCTGAGGCAGGAGAATTGCTGTGAGTTTGAGGCTATCCTGGGCTAGATGGTGTGTTCAAAACCAGCCCTGAACTCTACATAGTGAGACCCTGTCTCCAAAAAAAAAGGTATAAAAGCCATATTTATGGCTGACTTGCTCTTTACATTCAGTAAGAGCAGAAAATCCTTTTAGTGTATTTTTGTTTTGTTTGTTTTGTTTTGTTTTGTTTTTGAGGGTGTGTAGTTCAATCTGACCTTGAACTCACTATCCCAGGCTGGCCTCAACTCATGGTGATCCTCCAACTTCACCCCCCTCTAAGTACTGCGGGGATTACAAGCATGTGCCACCACATCTGACTCCTTTTAGTTTAAAATTTTTCATTTAGCTAGATTTTTGTCACCTTGTATTAAAGGTTTTGTAACTGTTAAAATATTTCCTAGGTTAATGATTTTAGCCTTTCAAATTTTTGAGTTCATGTAAGCCTGTGCACATTGTAACACGTTTGGGCTAGTTTGAGCCACTGATGATACATGTATGACCGTCCCGTTGGGTGGTTTGTACCACTGGTGGTAAAGATAGATCTAATCACTTACTGGTCTTTTCAATAATAAAGTTAATTAAAAGTCTATAAATGGACTGAATCTAGTTAGTTGCTTGAATTTGGGTAATTACTGCCCAAATACAAATATTAAACTGTTCATACCAATTAAAAATTACATAACCATTAAAAGAAATTATTTATATTCAATAGCTTAACACATTATACATAAAGGCGGCTAATTTGTGCAGAGTGGAAAAGTCCTAATGTGTTTGGCCCCAGTTTTTCACATAGTCATGCACGATCCACCACCTGTAGCGCAAGCTGACAGGACCCAGGACCATCGAACACCCAGCAGTGAGACATAGGAATTACAGTCCTGTGGTGAACGTGTTAAAGATGTTTTCAGAAATTGTATCAACAATTAAAGTATATAGGGTTTTTGTTTATTTTAGTTGTAGTTCTGTATTGTTATTCTTTAGTAGAGAATTTCTTAGTAATTTGAGGGAGAGGCATTCCTTTTGCTTAGGTGGCTATTAGTTAAAGCCAACAGAACAAAGCATAAACTTACACTTTTTTTTTTAACTTACTAAATTGAACTTTTTAGTAAGCTCTTGGAGACGAGCTGAAGACAGGAAAGATGACCGGGCAGAAGAGCGGGATCCCCCTCGTCGTGTTCCTCCCCCAGCTCTGTCAAGAGATCGAGAAAGAGAAAGAGACAGAGAAAGAGAAAGAGAAGGTGAAAAAGAGAAGGCCTCATGGAGAGCTGATAAAGATAGGGAATCCCTTCGTCGTACTAAAAATGAGACTGATGAAGATGGCTGGACCACGGTACGACGCTAAGTCCCAAGAGAATGGATTCAGACTTTCGTGTCTTACATAGGTTTGATCACATTCAAGGATTATTATACTTGTATTTCAGTCTAAATTGGATTCTTTAACATTTCACCATAACACAAAAGCATGAACTTGTATTAATCCTATGTAATAGACTGATCATCCACCCTATCCACAGGACAGTGAGAAACCATGCCATTTTCTGGAATTTAAGGTGTTGCGTTATTTCATCAATCATTTGTTTACAAAAAAAAGAAAAACTAACAAATTTAAAATGTGAACCCATCAGGTATTGAGTAATACCTGTATCTTGGTATAGAACAGATCTTTTTTTCTTTTGATTTTGAAATACCTGATATTAATTTGGAATGAGGTAAGGTTCTATTAAATAGGTTATTTGAAGACTCTTTAAACCAGTGGATCTGAAACAATTTTCGCACCATTCGTAATTGAAACATACCTCTTTAGGTATTTTGAGGTATTTACTATTAACTAAATTTAGAAAGCTTTTGGGTTCACTCTAAGTGCAGTAAACATTGGAGTCGGGATTTTCTGTAGATTTTACTTGAGGTGAGTATAAAGCAGTTCGCAGTCTTTATTGTAATGACAATACTGCTCGAGTGCAAACCCTGAAACAATACAGCTTTTAAACTTAAAACTTTTTGGTAAACTATCGCTGAATTTTTTTCTGTTGCCAATAGGAAACTGCTTTCCATTAATGGAGAATTCATGCCTTTCAAGCATTTTAAATACGACAATATTTATAAATGTGGTTTGGAGAAATTGTTTAAATTCTTTTTCCTAATTTTCTTTCTCCAGAATAGAGTCTTTCAACAAGTAATTTCTAGTAATGACTGTGTTGACTTCAATTTTGGAGTAGTTATGTTAAAGATTAACTATTTGGTCATATTGAAGCCAACACAGAACTTGCTGCTGTGTTTTCTTTCTTCAGTGATAAATAAAATACTCACAGAATTTTAGTGTTGATTTGTGATTACAAAGCATTTTGTTTATCATAGTAAGTTTGCATATCCAGTTGAATTTGAATTTTTGTCAGTGCTATTAAATATCTATGTTCAGTATTAAAAACTTAAATACAGTAATAGAAAGCAAATACAACTAGGGTATTTCCTCTAGAGCATCCTCTTTATTAATGAAATTCCTAGTTTATCTTGTAATGCTGTCCTCTAGGTTCATGTACAAGTGTGAGGTAGCACCATTACCTGTAAGGCCAGAGGTTTTATCTGATGTTAAAAATGATGGAATCACTTTTTTGGGGGGGGGGTAACGAGGATCGAACTCAGTACCTTGCGGTTGCGAGGCAGGTGGTGGCATCAGAGCTAAATCCCCAGCCCTACTTTTAAACACTTCTTAAATTCTGCTATTTCACACGTGTATAAGTTTTGAAAGGTCTTCATGGGGAGAGGGCCTTTTCTTTCACAATAAGAGCAAAGTTCAGTGCAAAGACTGTGGGGCAGTAATCTGCTATGAATTTGTTCCTAGTGCTGAGAACTGTACATGTGACATCACAGGTAAGTTCTACCAGACGGTTCTTGCCGTTTAGGTAAGTTCCAGAGGCATGGGTTTCAAGGCTAGTCTGCAAACGCAACCTTTCTGCTTGCAGCTTGTCTCAGACATGTTCTCCCAGGTTTTCTATGTATTGGGTGTGAGAACCTTGAACACAGGGGGAAGGCAAAACAGTCTGATGCTAAAAAACAATTTTTTTTAAAGTCTGATGCTGTTGCTTTGCATCCAACTCTTGGGTTTCTAGTATCTAGGTGTCCCCAACCCTGTCTCCGTAGTTCTCTCTTAACAGGTATTAAAAGAAAACAACACCCTACTCACTGGTGTACTAGGTGCTCCCCATGTTCCCAAGGCTTCTGCCATTTTTAAATGAGAAGAGTTGCTGTTAGTACGGATCTGAGGGTGGAGACATCACGGGCTCAGGAAAAGACCCACTACATCCCACTAGGCCTACCAGGAGGCATTTAGCATCTGTGTGGGATGTTATATCAAGAACCATCAGAAACAAAAACAAGTGACTTTTTTGGGGTACCGGGGATTGAACTCAGGACCTTGCGCTTGCGAGGCAGGCAGTGGCACCACTGAGCTAAATCCCAGCCCTACAGTGACTTAACAAAAAGAAACATCTGTTTTGTCGGGGTTTTGTTGGTACTGGAGATCGAACTCGGGTCCTTGCGCTTGTGAGGCAGGCGCTGGAACCACTGAGCTAAATCCCCAGCCCAACATCTGCTTTTTTACCTCAGGCATTTTGACTGTAGGTTGAGTGATGTGTGCTTTTATAAGTAATTGAAATATATAGGACACTGAAGGAAAGCTTTCTCATATAGTGAGAGGACTAGCAAACTTCTTTCCCTGGCTGTGTTCGTGGAGTATATTTTTTTTTGTACCGGGGATCGAACTTGGGTCCTTGTGAGGCAAGTGGCGGAACCACTGAGCTAAATCCCTGGCCCTTGTGGAGTAATTTTAAGATGTTAGGTTTTGGTTTAGTAAATTGAAAAGTTGTTCTAATCAAAGCAAATTCTACTGCAGTTTCCAGAAGGTCTGTGGGGAGGGGGTGAACCAAACTTGGACATACAAGTTTGAACAGAACAGAACAGGTCTAGGCCTTCACCCTTGGTAAAGCTCTTTTGAGGATTTCACATACTGGTTACTTAGCAAAATAGCTGCATGTTCTTACAACTTTGTCACATCAGTAACTTTGTTTTTAAACGTTGTGTTTCTTTATACTAATTTAATTTTGCAAAATGTCTCACATTGAATTCCAAGAATCATTTTTAAGTGTAGTTAAACCTACTTTCCATAAAGCTCTAGAAAATTAACTAGTAATAACTATTTTAGCTCAGTATTTCAGTATTACTTGGAACACTGAGGCAGGTTTGACATGGAGTGGGATGATAGAATGTCTTCCTGATTGGTTGATGCAAGCTCTCCGTATATTCTCCTAACTTCAGTAGTGCAAGTAAACCTCATGCTCTCAGGGTTCCCATTTCTAGTAAAATAGTGATGTCAGAATAGCAAGTTTTTATCAGGTGCATATGGCATAATCCCTATACTTAGGGAAGTCAATAATGTGTATCTAAAAAAATTTCAAAGCTGAAATTGATCCTGCCATCCATCATGTCCTTTTGGCCTGAAGAATTCATTGATATGTTCATCGTAACCCCTTTGAAAAGTTAGAGCAGTGGGAGTAACAGGAACTTCTGTTCTCCCCCAAACAAGGCTAATTTAAACTAGGTAGTATGTTTTCTAGTGCCCTTCTCCTCCCAAAAAGTAGTAATGTGGTTTTATTAGGCTAAGCAAGTTGAGGCTCAGTCACGTGTGTAGTTCTCTGGTCTGAGGATGTAAGACTAGTAGGGTGCATTGGCTTCCTAATAACACACCTACCTATCCATCACTTCCTTGGTTCTGATGCATCTTACCTTTGACCAAAAAAGCGTATAGCTACCCAGTATTATTTATGTTGTCTTCTGTTGGGACTTCAAATGAGTGTTAAATATCAAGCCAATTTATTGTGGAGAAAGCTGTAAAACAAAGCAGTATAACTCCTAATACCCCAGCTAAATGGAAGCTGTATACAGACTAAATCTCTTGCTGGTACTTGCATTGCAGATAGTGGTGTTTATGCATTTTTGATGAATTCTTAGCTCACTTCCGTTTTTGCCTCCATCTGTTTTGATGGTAGGTAGCCACATGCCATAGTATTTAGCATGGCAGATTAAAAATGCAAGAACTATTTTTTTTGTACCAGGGATCGAACTCAAGGCCTTGCCCACGCGAGGCAGGCGGTGGAACCACTGAACTAAATGCCAGGCAGAAAAAATGCGTGGCGGGAAGTAATGCAGGTTACAGAAACCTTTTGCCCAAGGATCGGTTTTAATTTCACCGGTAGCTGGTGGGGTTCCAGAAGCAGACCAGTATCTTCAGTGACAATGCTCCTTTGCCTCCAGCCCCTAACAGAACAGGGTAGGTAGTTCTTTTAGTGCTTATCTTGGTGGACCTTTCATATGCCGGAAGCCAAACAGCCTACAGTGGGACCTTCTTGAATACAAGTTATTAATTAGCCTCCTATTTTAATTTGAGAAGCAATGGCAGGAATGGACTTTTACTTAGGAACCTTGAAATTGAGCAATTGATGGTGAGCTAACATTGCTCTCTTACCTTTCTCCCCTTTGATCTTAATATCGAAAACGATTAAAAGCTGAAAATGGGTGGTGAATGTGTAGAGAAAATGCCAAGTAGGAGTTATAGGTGAGATTAATGAATTCATATACTGTTAACTGTATAAATACACAATTTTTTTAAACAGCACCATTTCCAAGTTATACACGATTATGACTTGGCACAATTTTTAAAGGTGGAAAAGGCTAGTTGCTAGTTAGGTGATAAGAGATGTTACATAAAAGGATAGGAGCTGGGTTCTACCTGCTACAGACTGCACTTCACACCTCCAGCTAGGACGGAAACAAGCCACAAGGAGGGAATACGCACCCAAGCTAACAATGGAAACTTTACTAAACCACTTCTCAAACGCTGCAGCCACCAAGGGCTTGCTTCATCTGGTAACTAAGGACAACTAAAATACTAATTGCATCAGCCATTTTCCCAGCATTCCATAAAATCCCAACTTCAGCTCAATTTAGAGGCTATTAAAAAAATATTCTAGACCTAGTAAAGTGCCTCCATTCGTAAAACGAAACATCCAAGATTAGAGAGTTTCTGACTGATATGCGTCTAAAATAGATCGACGTATACCGTAAATAAACAGCGCCTCTCCGTTGCCATATTTCAGTTAACGGAATACACACCCAGCCTTAGCCGATCTGGATGTGCGCAAAGTAGAAACTGCAAAGACAAAGATTTTTAGCGTCGGTCTCAACAACGCTCGACAGTAAAGTACTCCGCACGCAGCTGCTTCTGAAAAACCACCACGACGTCCCAAATTGAGCCAGCTCCCGATGTCGTCGCTTCCCCAGCAGCGAGGGGGAGACAGCGCGAAACCAACACAGAGCTGGCGGCGCCTCTGGGGCGCCAGGTGCGGCAGTCGGCAGTCCGGGCGCTCAGCGCAGCTTCTTGCCGGGCAGGCTTTCCCTGGTGCTGCGCGGCGGCGGGCGCGCGGCAGGCGGCGGCGGCACTTTGGAGAGCGGGCAGTACTTGATGGTGTGCGCGTTGTCGCCGCTGGCGCCGCACAGAGGGCACGTGTAGCGCCGCAGCACGGGACACAGCACTCGCCCGTCGGGGCCCTTAAGGATGTGGGTGGTGTAGAGGGCCACCGCCTCCTTGTTGTTCCGGCAGAATACGCACACCTGCAGCTCCGGCTTCAGTAGCCGGGCCGCGGCCGCCCCGGAGGCTGCCTGCAGCCGGGGCACGGATGCCCACGCTGGGGCCCGCTCCTCGCGCGGCGTCGCCTCGGCGGCTGTGGCAACAGGCGCGCAGCCCAGCAGTACGGCGGCGGCGCGACCCGCGAACGGGCTCAGCTCGGCGAAGCGCTCCTCCAGCATCCCGGCCTCCGCAGCGCCCGCGCCTAAATCCAGCGCGCGCAGCTCCAGCGCACCCCCCAGGTAGCGGCCCCGGGACCCCGGCTCGTCGCTGTCGTCGTCGTCGTCGTCGTCCTCATCGAAGTCAGGCGGCGCCAGCGCCGGCCCCAGCGTCCCGAGTCCGATCCCCGCGTGAGGGGAGCAGCAGGACGACGAGGAGGGCGGGGAGCCGCCGCTGCCGCCGTCCACCGCCTTGGTGATGAGCGTGGCGAGCCCCAGGTAGTCGTTCCAAGAGCTGAAGGGCTGCGGGTGCGCCGGGCTCGGGGTGCTCACGTAGCGGGCGCCAGGCACGAGCGCCATGGGCGCGGGGGCGCGGCCGCAGCGGGGCGAGCTGGGGGCCCAGGGAAAAGCCTCCATGGGCGGGCTGAGGGCCGCACGCCACCTCCCGCCGCCGGCGCGAGCCGGACGGAAGGGACACGCCGAGCCTGCCGCCCGCCTGCCGCGGGGTGGGGCCGCCTCGCTGCCTTTTATCGGGCGCGCTCCTCCTTGCCGCTGCGGCCCCGCCCCCTGCGCTCCCCCGCCCGGGCCACCGCGCCCCGAACGGGGGCGGGGCGGGGCGGAGCGGAGGCGGAGGCGGGCGGGCAGTGCGCGCGCTGCGCTCGGGCCCGAGCAGCCCCGGCGCCCGGCTTGCGCCCGCCTCGCCAGCTGCGAACCGCCCTTCCTTCTGCGAGGGGGCAGGCGGGGCGCCGCCTCGGGCGGCGGCGCTAACTGGCTGCCGCCCGGAGAGTCCCAGAGCCACGGGCGCCGCTCCGCCTGCTGATTGGTGCGGCCGGGCGGGAGGCGGGCGCGGCGCTCACAGCTGGGAGGTGAGGGAAAGTCGGGGAGGGGGCGGGGCGGCGACCGGGACCCCCGTCGCCCAAGCGCAGGGCCCTAGGTCTGAGCAGGTGACCAGGTCTGTGTGTTCCTCTGCCTGCCTCGGGATGGGGTCGGGATGGCGACCGGACGGTGCCCCAGGGCTCACGCAGCCGCCTCTCAGCCTTGGATGCCCCCCCCCCTCCCCAGCCCGCGTCTCCCCAACATCAGCAAAAAGGCTGTAGGAGGCGGGACTGGGTGCAATCTCAGGATGCAGCTCTCCCGGTTTGGGTCTCCTCTCTCTCGGCTGGGTGGCCTTTCCACCACACACGGCCCAGAAGGGTTTCAGAGTGAGAGAGTGTGTGCATCCTCGGAGCCCAGTTACCGAACACAGGGAATCTGTGAAGCGAAGACCTGAGCTGGGCCGAGGCGCTCCGAAGGGAGCTCCAGGGCCCGCCGGCCGGCGCGGGGAAGGATTTGAGGCAGCAAAGTGATGCCTGTTGGAGCCCCTTGTCAGGTTAGGGCTTCGAGGTATGAGGCTCTTCCTTACCTCCTCCATCCTAGCGGTTTGATGTAAGACCTGAGACCAGGCAGTCATAGTCTCTGCTTTTGCCAGTGCAGTTCCTTTTCAAGTTTTTCTTGGCACTCAAGTTTAAAAGTCGTCCTTTATTTCCTCCCCATCTCCCACCAAAAATAAAAGAGCTTGAGTACTGTGGGGCTCCCACAGAAGCCTGGCAGGTTTGCTGACACTGAACTTGAGCTCCCACCACGAGAACGCAAGCCCCAGAGTGGTATGAAGATTATTATTCTATAAATGGAAAATTCCACTCTGTTCACGCAGCCCTGCAGCCTGCATGTTTTCAAGCTAGGCAGACTTTTCAAGCTCTGAAGAGTGGGAGCACCGTTCTGAGAACTTTAGCAAGGAAAGTTTAAAACTGTGAGCTGCCATGACTGCTCCTCCAGGTCAGGCCAGAGGAAGGGAGGCAGACAGACCAAGGCCCCTCTCTTTCCCCATGATACTGAGCCCCTGTGGTTGAATGAAGAGGGAAAGAAAACTGTTTTGGGAACTTGAATGAGAACAAATGCCTTGCGTGGAACCTGCAGCCTGGGCAAGGGGGTCACAGTGATCGAACAGGGGCCTCTGGGAGGAAGAGGAGTGAGCAAGTGTCTCCTGGATCTGGCCACACTTGCTGCTTCCAGTCTGTTCACCTTGCCCACTGCCAAGTGTTAAGTAGGTGTTTGACCCCGAAGCACAGTCTAGAAGTGGAGGGGAAGTGCTCTTTTGTCTTCTGGCACCTTCTGGGTTGAGCCTTTGCTCTGAGTGACCATGGACAGGCCAGAGTGGGTGGTGTTCAGCTCTGGGTTAAATAAACAGACATTTTTGTCACTAAGAACAAACTCAGCCTAGCTGTGAGCTCTCCAGGTCTCTTTCAAGCAGTGGGACTGACTTCAGGGATGTTCTTAGCACCTCCCAGGAAGTTTGATTGCCTTTTGTTCACTTTGCAGGAGTCTGCTATGAAACAGACAAAACTAGCCAGAGTGTGAATATTTCTTCAAGGGACATTCACAGAATGTTGGAGCAGGAAGACAGGTGGACTTAGGTCTCATCTCAGCAGTTAGGGCTATCACTCAGTTTCTCCCGGAGTGGGGCCTGCCTGGTGGGGGAGAAGGCTCTGGGGGAACAGGGTGTCCGTGGGGAGGGCTGCTAGGGCTCTGTGCTCCCCCTGCCCAGGCTGTTTCTTCTGCTGGCGTTAGAATGGAAACCCGCGGGTACACACAGACCTCAGGCATCTTGAGATCTTCAGAAGCATGAGGTCAGCCCTGGGGAATGAAGCAGCTTGGCTGGTATCCAGGGAGCTCCAGAGATGCTGTTTGTCAGGCTCCAGGGTCCTGCTGGTCGGCCTGCCAAGCTTTTGCCAGGGGCTGGAAATGCTTTGGCTCCCCTAGCTGTGGGCTTGCAGTGGGTGAGGGGCAGTTGGGCCCACAGGGCCTCTACTCTTCGAGGTGCTAGCTCTGCCCTTGACACGCCTATAGCCAGCTCAGAGTCCTGGGGATAGGCTGCCCTGTGGAGGCTTAGAGTATGTCATAGCAGAGATGCCCTGTGGTGAAGTAGGGGGGCCTTGCTGGGCCCCAGAGGTGGGTTTTCAAAGACACATATGGCCTTGGGTGAGGGCCCCAGCTCGTTCCTGTGATCAGTGAAGGGGCTCCTTCAGTGAAGTGGCAGCTGCTCCCCCTCTTTGCTTGCTTAGTTTTGAGTCCCTCCCTCAGCCTCAGGGATGAGCTGTGCCAAGGGTTGAGGCAACCCGGAAATGTTGCTTCTTTGCCCCACTGGATAAGGAGAGAGCTGGTGACCAGTCCTTCCCGTGAGGTGTAAGTGTCTGTAGGGGATTCTGGGAAGGAATTTGCTCCTGTATTTAAAAAGGAAGCAGCCGGGCACAATGGCACATGCCTGTAATCCCAGCACTCTGGGAGGCTGAAGAAGGAAGATTGGAATTTTGAGGCCAGCCTGGGCAACTCAGAGATTTAGTGAGACCTTGTCTTAAAAAAAAAAAAAAAGCCCAGATGTAGCTCAATGTGAAGGCCCTGTATTCAGTTCTCCAGCAACACACACACTTGTGGACCAGGAGACTTCCTCTGCTCAGGTCATAGAGCTGTGGCAGCCACAGGTGACAAGTTTTCAGGACAAAAAGCTGGCACACTGGTGGCCTTGGTGACTTTTTTTGGTGAATTGGTGGCATGTTACATGACATAATGTGTCTTTATTGTTTCAGCCACTTTGAGCCGGGCATTCTTTTCCTTGCAGCTGACTTTGTTGTCATTAAAATACAGCAATATGAAGAAAATGCATTTGGTGATGGTTTCAGAAAGGCAGGCTCCAGGGTTCTGTCAGGACAGAGGTGACAGCATTGTTGGAATTCCATATGTGTTTGGATAAGAGCTGAAAGGGAGCATGGAGATTGGGGGCATCTCTTCCCTCACCCCCTGCCTTGGGCTCAAGAGGCCTCACACCCAATCCCCCACCCATCCTCCCAGCGGCCTGCAGGCAGGGCTCTGACTTCCCCATGCTGCAGATGTGGGCCAGGCTCACGTCTCCAAGAAGTAGCAAGGCTGAGACTCATACCCAGTCCCTCTTGCTCCAGAGCTGGATTTGTGCCTCTTTGGGTGCACCTGCAGATTCTTGGAATCAAAGGGTTCTGGTGGAAGAGGGTGGGGCCAGCCAGCAACACAGAGTGGGAGAGGGGCCAGAGCAGGAGCTGCCTGGCTAAAGCAGAGTCCGATTAGAAGAGGTCTGTGTGCTTGTTTACCCAGTGGTTTGTCTCTGGTGTGAGTAATCCTTTCTCTCTGCAGCCTGTGGCTTTCTTTTTTTTTTTTTTTTTTTTGGTACCGGGGATTGAACCCGGGTT